TTTGCTCATGCTGGCTCACGCAGCTCAGGCGGGGCTCCGCCCACAGCGCCCCTATATACCGGCCGCCACTGTGCAGGACTATCACTGGCTGGAAATAACAATATAGTGGAAATGAGCTGCTTGGTGGAGGTCTGTGCTCTCCGAGTGCTTTTCTAGTTTGTCATGAAAAGAACAGGGACGGCTGGCTGAGTTGTACTGAAAGAGCTGACTGATTTTCATAGCGTTTTAGTTTGGTCAACAATGTAAACAAACAAAAGAAGTTCAGCTCAGAGTCTGATGACATTTTTGCAGAGACTTTTTCTTTAAAAAAAAAAAAAAAAGCAAGATCCATGTCTGAAAGTCTGTGTCTTTATCAAACTCATTGCTGAGAGAATAGAATAGAATAGAATAGAATAGAATAGAATCAAATAGCCACTTTATTGTCAAACAAAACATACACTAGCTGGTTCACATTTTGACTGAAATTTTGATGGAAAAACTCTCCATCAGACTGGTAAAAAAACAAAACAAAAATTATTTGGGAAAAAAACCCCAAAACAATTGCAACAAGTATATGTAAACAGTATACACACACACACACACACACACACACACACACACACACACACACACACACACAATATAAAGGACCGAAACTTTTTTCAATATCATATTTCATTCGTTTCATGCTCTTACATCTCTACCTGTTGTGCATTAGTACACTGTGGTTTAAGAATAGACTCTAGGGAGAGCAGACTGAGAGGCAGTGCTTGCCATAAAATGCTGCATCTCTTTCACCCTGGATACAGATGGGTTACAGAATTTCAGTGGCAGCTCAGGTGGGAAGGAAGATCATTATTAAACATAGTGGCATACTTTTCAATCACGTAGGGGACTTAAGGAAGTCTTCATGTACCTCCTGCACACTGACTTCAAACTAGTCATTTATTTTAATAATGTTTCAATCCCAATTTTATATTCCTCTGGACGAAGTGATTAAAGATGATTTCAATACTCCCACACTCCAACACTGAACCCCAGGTTACTCCTGGCAGGCGAGCATGTTTCATGGCTACTCTGCCACTGCCAAAAAGGTATATAAGTGTGATCCATTTACCATGTAACCCCTCTCACATGCACAACTGTGCAGTGTTGAGTGACAATCTTTCCTTGCTCCCAGCCAACACACAAACTCCTTTCCTGCTTCACTTCTGTCCTTTTCTGTTATTTGTCATTAACCACTCTTGTTAAGCCTGATTACACTCCTTGGCAACATGAACACAGACCACTATAGACACCATGGTATGTGGTAAACTACTTTGTAGTTTGTGCAGACGACTTCGTTCTGTACATGTGCAGTAGGTTGGCATCTTTGTACTCCACATATAAACACTTCCATTGGGACAGTGTTATAGTTTTCCCATTTGTAAGTATGTAAGGGTCCACAGGATGTAAATGTCCCCAGCTCTGTCGGATTCTGCATGGTTGGTCACATCTCAAAGGCAATAGTGCGTGATGCTCCACAGTAGTATGTATGCGTGGAATAGGTAGATACGATCTAGAGTGCTTGTGTGGAATGTAGTCCTCCCAGCAGACACGCATGGGCTGAAAAAGTGGCATAATAGCAACAACTTGCTGCGGTGTCTGTGGCTGTCCGTTGTACGTCTACAAAAGAGTATATTCAAGGCTTTACAGTGGACTTAGAGACAGGTGACGCTTAGCTGTGCTGCCTGCTTTAATCTTTGTCATCAAGGCTTGGCACGTACAGAATCTATTTGGAGTGTGTTTGAGAGAGCAAGCAGGTGGGAAGGGTTGAGGGCCAATGAAATTTGAAATTAAGATGGGACACGCAATGAGACAGACATGCAGAATGTTGTTGCTGACACGAAGCATTCCTGTCTGAATGATTCATTCAATCATTAATTAAGTCATTAAGTTAAAAGTCCCTCTGTGTCTGTGTTTCCTATAGAACTCAGGGATGGAAGAGATGGTCTGGGAGCAGTACACAGTCACACTGCAGCGGGTGAGTTTATTCCCTAACTCTTCTGTTAACCCTCCAGACATGCATCTGTCTATTAGCCTCTCTTCTTCTTCTCCTCACGCACATGCACACACATGCGCCAGACGTCCACCAATCAACATAAAGTAACCCACACATGTGACATGTGCATTTTAAACAGGAAGGCAGCAACCAACCATTTAACATATCTTCTTCAAAATAAAAGAAATGAAATACATTTAAGCATTTTCAACACATTTATGAACTTAAAACATTATAACGTATCAAAACAGGTTTTTAATCACTGTTTTTAATACATATTTTAACCTTTTTTCATCTATTTCTCCTGAACAAAAATGTATTAATATTTTTTACTAGACTACAGATAGACAAAATTATATTCACTTTTGTCAGTTTAGTTATCAGTTCTCCAGATAACTGTGGTAAAATCTTTGGCTGTAGTCTCTTGTGTATCCCTCTTTTAGAAATAGTGTATCCTTGAAGAGGGAGACCATAGCTTGACAATCCAGAGAGGTGAATAAACGTAGATAAACTTCATGCTGGTTGAAGCTAAACAATATACATTATCTGAAATATAATCAATTGTTAAATAGCAAGAGAACACACAAGTGACTGCTATGCATCATACCTCTTCTTCTATTTCCCAATATTTAATTCATTTATGTCTGGTACACAACCAAAGTGAGTACACGCCTGTGCTGTGTCATTAAAATGTTAATTGAATTAAAATTGTATCATCTTACAATAAGTATTTTTATTGTTCATTTGAAGTGTAGTATTATTACAAACAGGTTGAATTGAATACACAAATAATGTGGTGCTTTCTACTGTGCAACAGTAAACATTGTTCTAAAAATAGACCTGCCCTGACTTTAGCTAACCCACCCTGCGGCTGCCTTGCCTCGCCTCACTGGACTGTGTCGTCAATAGACTATATTGGAGAAGCCAAAAGTGAGCACCACTACTCAGATCAACAATCCTGTCTGTTACAAATTATTTTTATAAACAACTATTGTAAAATGCCAAATAACATTTTGAAAGAAAGTACATTTTCATTAATGAGCAAATCTGTTGAGTCACAGAGTGCACTGTCTGCACATTTTATTAGTTTCCTAAAACACCTGCTTGTGACATGTAAATGTAAGTAAAGTGTGGTTATTTTTAGGCAACTCAAAGCACAGTTTAGGAAAAGACTGTGACCTAAGCTTATGGCGTACATGAGTATGCACAAGTCTCTGGTGTCACAGTCCTGTGCACTCTGTACCAAACACTCACCTCCCTGTGACTTATGGGCAGTACCAGTATGCAACAGCTGTGTGTTAAAAAATTAGATGTTGTCACCATGTGCGCTGTTTTATCAAATGCACATGATACACAATCACGTAGCTAAACAAAAAAGGCAAGAACCAAGGAGATCTCTATCAAAGTTAAATGCATTTGTCAACAAAACCAATGCATGCATATCATTAAGGTTTCAAAAACCAATCAGCACCTCTGTAAGTTCAGCTGGAGCTCTCACCTCACTTTGACTCAGTGTTTTTGTGAGTTATATCTGTTTTAAAATACTGTATTTGTTAATTGATTTCTTTTCCTGCAGGACTCTAAGATGGGCTTTGGCATTGCTGTCTCAGGTGGTCGTGACAACCCCAATGTAGAGAGTGGTGAGACGTCAATCATTGTATCAGATGTGCTGCAGGGAGGACCGGCAGATGGATTACTCTTGTAAGTCTGTCAAACAGAGACCATCATGTACCTCAGAGAAAAATGCTTCAATGGACAGTTTCCTTTTATGTAACACATTTTGTTAAGAACACTGACAAAATCTGCATGTCTGAGTTACGTATAGCTGAGTTAGATTGAAAGCTAGCAGAGTTCTGCAAAATACCAAAGGCTTTAAGAACACAACAACAGCCTCTGTGTGTATTGATGAATTATTTTATAGTAAACAAGATGTACATTACTTAACTAATTTTTATTTGCTTGCGTGTACCTTTTTTTTGTCTAGTGAGAACGATCGTGTCATTCAAGTCAACTCCATCCCCATGGACAATGTGCCTCATACTTTTGCTGTGCAGTCCCTCCGTAAATGTGGAAAAGTAGCCAAAATAGTGAGTATAGACCACAAACAAGTAACACACAGAATACTTTTGCAGACCTCAAGCAATGTTTGTAGGGTCTCATAACTCTGATACTAATAGCAGTAGTCTCCAGACCCAGGTAACATTGACTCAAGTTTACATAGCGTTCTCTAGAGACAACAAAGGCTTTACACAATATACGTTTTCACATATGCACTGGTACCCAACACGTGGAAACACAGGGCCTAAATTGTTCTCCTTTAAGTTGAGTTTGCTGTTTTCATGTGACTATTAAGAGCAAAAAGAATAACTGTTATAATCCCATAGCAAGAGCATGTTCTGAATCCTAAGTCTGTTTTGTCACAAAAAAAAACTGTTCTACCTGCTTGAAATGCATCATATAGTCAACCTGTTACACCCATTTGGTGAAGAAGCACAGAGCGTTCAGGTCATGTGACACAAGATGGCAGTAAAAAGTGTGCTATTTCAAAGTGAAGTTCAGTCTAATTTTTGTTCAGTGATCTTAATTATGAAATTGTGTTTGAGTAAAACACTGAGAAATATACAACAATATACAATTCAGGCTCTATACGAGTCAGAATAAAATGTAAATGTTTCTGCATTGTTGTTTGTGATGAGAAACAGGACGTCAGAAGTGAGATTATGCTTAACAAACTGTTTCTATTAACAAACAAACAAACATTGCAAACTTACTTATCACATACTCTAGTATGAAATAACTCAATGATGTCCTCACAGCATAGCATAAGCATTTTGTAATGCAAAATTAATAAAGAACAGCAAGAATGTTATTAAAGCAAAAGCTGTTTCCACAAAAATGCCATGATATCTGTCACATTCTTAAGTTAAAAGCCATCTGTCTTCTGTCTTTTTTGTGAAACCAGCTTAGCAGCACTTTAACAATTTTAACACAGTTTGGCACAGAAAATACTTTCATTGTTCCATTATGCATAATCTACATTGAAAACTAACACCGGACTCACTATTTGAAAAGCAACATGCAACACATCTCATTATTGAATTTCCTGAGGACCTTGTCCTTCCATTTATTCAAGCATTTATGCATGAGATCTCTCTCAAAGTGCAGCTGCACCAGCTCCTCCTTCAGTGCATAGCACACAGACTGATAGTGGTCGACACAGATGTTCTGCTGTGTGCAGGAGATCGAACCGCCAGCCTTGCAATTAGTGGAAAACCCGCTCTACCACCTGAGCCACAGCCGCCCGTGTTTACGGTGCCACCTATGATGGACACCTGTGTTTGTGCTACCAAGGCAGTTTCTATGCATTTGCTATGTGCCTACCCTTTCTGCCTCTTTTCATAGAACTGAAAATGTCACACATCACAGATGACCACACCACTGCCACCATTTTATCTTCCCCAGAAAGTCAGTTCCTGTCAGCACCGTAAAACTTCTACAGGGACATCAACAACAATGAACTTAGTTGCAGCACTGATTGTCATCAGTAACTGACAAAACAAATTAAAAAATATTGCCAGACACATCATGGAATTCATGTTGTGTGGCATCAGGGAGAGAGGACTTTGGAATAGTACTAGAATCAGCACAAGAGCTTGTGTGTATATAGACAAATACAACTGAGCAAACAAATCTGGAGTATTCAGTGCTTGTTTGAGTGTCTATTCTACTGAGACATAGTTGTTAGGTTCTTGTTCTGTCAGATTGTAGACAACAGTACTGTGTAATCTTGTCTTTTCTACAGGGCCAGAAAAATGACTGTTCACAATTATGATGGTTTTAATATCCTGAGCAAATAAAATGTCAAATTTTATGTTTTAGGTGTCAAAATATGCCAGTATTAGAAAATGATTTTGACACAGAAGGAATCATGGCTAGAAGGCGAGCCTAGTCTAAACATGTAGGCAAAAATAAGATTTTTCATCTGCTTTGCTAATTTGTCTCGTCCAAGCACGTATCCCACGTGCAAGTTTTCTCTGGTGAATTATCAGAAAACAGAAAGCACATGCAGGGTAGCAATGCTTATTTCTGTGACTCTATGCCATAGACAACTATAATATATCACATGGTGCTGATACTCAAAGTTAGTTATAGAGAAAATCGTGCTGAACAAAAAACAGATTTTGGCGATAGATACTAAGATTATTAGATAAAAAAAAAAAAAACAAAAAAAAAAAAAATCATTTTCAGTCTTGAAAATATACTGAAGCTTTCTCCTATACCTATAAAATTACGAGGGGTGAAAATTACAGGAAAATGTAACTTGAGTTAAAAAGCACAAAATTTCAACCCACCCGTATGTACTTTAAGGGCCTGTATCTCAGAATATTCATGGTGTTTTTTTATGGCTTCATTAAATATAATAAAGCGATTGTACATGGAACATCTGCTGATTTTGAGGACGTCAGGTGGGAACTTTATTTAGATTTGGATGATTTTATAAGGAATGACCCCATATTTAAATAAAATAGTTTAAATTCTGTTTAAACAGTTTGTAAAATTACAGGTTATGTCAGTCAGCAAGGGCTACTTGAGCTCATATGCTAATGGTACATTTGAGAAAAAATGTTTGGAATCACTGATTCCACCATGTGGTAGAACTGGTTGTCCGTTAATTGCAGTGTTGGTAGTTCAATCTTTAGCCACTGTATGTGTCAAAGTATCCTTAGGCAAGACATTGAAATGAAAAGTCGCTTCCAAAGACAGGCTATCACCTTGCATGGCAGCTCCACCACCACTGGTGTGGGACTGTAAATGGGTGAATTAGAAACAGTGTAATATGCAAAGAGAAAAGTGATATGTGAGTCCAGGCTATTTACCATTTTATTAAAAATGTTTATTTATTTATTTTTTGTTGTTGTTTTTAATTGTTCTCTCTCTGTCAGACAGTGAAGAGACCTCGTAAGGTGTCAGTCCAATCCCTGAAGCAACCCCCATCCCCCGGTGGGGACAGTCATGAATACACCCCCTCCACACACTACTTTGATGCTGACAATGACAATGGCTGGTATCGTAATGAAAGCCGGGACCACACCTCTGATATCAAAGGGCACCTGGACCCTGAGTACAGGGGAGGACGGGACTACAACCAGAGAGCGAGGAGCCGTGGGAAGAGCCAGGAAAGAACCTCGCCCAGCCCTGAAAGATCCAGGAGGGAGGTACGAGCCCTGGACACCAGTGCTGGTCATCAGAGGTACCACAGCCGAGGACGCAGCCCTGGGAGCAGCTACCACATGGATGACAAGTATGAACGAGGAGAAGGAGGAGGAGGAAAAATAGGAAGGTTTAGGAGCAAGGGCCAGCTTAATGACAACTCATCTCCAGAACCCGGCAGAGATCTGGAGCCACTGGAGAAACCTGTCAATGTCCTCCTGGTGAAGAACAGACCCAATGAAGGTAAAAATCATCTACTTACCATGGCTGCCCATTTCACTGAAAAGACCTTATATTTCATCATAGGGTTGTATGATTGTTGATGAAATGAGAATGATTTTTTTTTTGAAGCTGATACTAAGCTGAGGTCCGTAGCAATACAACAACCATAAGTGCACTTTATTTTCAAGCTTTCCTAAATGAATTGTACAGGTGTTTAAGTTTTCCCTTGTAACTTGACAAAACGTCTGAGTGTGAAAACTCGCCCACAGTCAACTTCCCAACTTTATTCATCTGTATTTTCTCCTGTATGTAGTCGTACATCTCAAAGTTATTTAGAAGGAGATACATTTCAGGTACTGTAGACTCTTCACATGTAAAGTGAAATATTTAAAGCCATTTTATGTTTTAATTTCTAAGTTCATGGCCTTGGCTGCACGGTGTCTTGGTGGTTAGCACTGTTGCCTCATAGCTAGAAGATGCTTGGTTTGCATCCCAGTTAGGATGCCTGGGATCTTTCTGCATGGAGTTTGCATGTTCTCCCTGTGCAGCGTGGGTTCTCACAGGGCTCTCTGGCTTCCTCCCACAGTCCAAAAACATGCTGAGGTTAACTGGTGATTCTAAATTGTCCATAGGTGTGAATGTTAGTGTGCTTTGTTGTCTCTCTGTGTAGCCCTGTGATAGACAGGGTGTCCCCTGCCTTCACCCTGAGTCAGCTGGGATAGGCTCCAGCCCCCTACGACCCCAGTGAGGATTGAGCGATGTAAAGATAATGGATGGATTATGGCCTATAGTTCATGAAAATCAGTATATTAGTATGTTCGCATCATGTTTGTGGAAATTGCTATTCAAACAGTATAAATATCATGTATTTCTCTGTGTAGTTAAGTACATGCAACCACAATCATGGGGACGACTGTTGACTTGAATGCTATCCTAAAGACAATTATCAACACCTTCCACAGGGAGGGTAGGCCACAGAAGATCATTGCTGAAAAGGCTCGCTGTATATGCTTTACTGTATTGAAGTGTATTAATGTAAAGTTGACTGGTAGGGATAGGAAAAATGTGGCAGCAAAAGGTGCGCAAACAAGCTCCACCAGCAGTGGACTGAGGCTGGTGTCAGTGCATCAAGAGCCACCCATCACAGACGTCTTCAGGAAAGCGGCTACGACTGACACATTCCTTGTCAAGCCACTCCTGACCCAGAGACATCAGAAGAGTCTTTTCCTGTAATAAGGAGAAAAAGAACTGGACTGTTGCTCAGTGGTCCAAAGTCTTCTTTTCAGATGAAAGTAAAATTTGCATGTCATTGGGAAATCAGGCTAGCTAAATGCTGTCTGCTTTAGTTTCAAAAGGCTGCTGTCACAGTCCTGGAGCTGCAATTCCCTTATATGTGGACAAATCACAGAGCTCCACCTGTGCCATACACACAGACACACACACACACACACACACACACACACACACACACACACACACANACACACACACACACACACACACACACACACACACACATGCACACACGCAAACTTGACTGGGAGTAGAGTGAGATGTGGGCATCAAAACAAATGTCTCAGGGTTATAACACTACATTATTGCAATAGCTGCAAGCCTGTAAATAAGAGAATCCATAACCGTATGTTAATGTTTATACCACTACCAACAACTACCAATGTAAATCAGTGGATGCATTTATTGAGCGGTAATACAAGTCATATTTTAAAGGCATCTATACTCGTCTAAGGTATTCAGCAGAATTATTATTATTTCTAAGTTGACAGAAGTGTTTGCTCGAAAAGGGCTACTTTAGAAAGACTTTATTGAAATTTTGAATCAATTCAATTTTCTTTATATTGCTCTATATTACAACAACTCACAACATGTCATAACACTTCACATAGTAAGTTGAAGACCAGAAAAAGCCAACAAATCCAAAGTTTCCTTTGGATTCCCTTTGAGCAAGACTTCATTCCCCTCTCTTCATTCCCTTACAGAATGAAAGGCATCAGTACATATTTCACCTACACCTCATTACACTGTACAAACTACACCAGTTTCCCTACAGAGCATACAGTGTTTCTCTTTAATGTACAATGTCATGCCACTTTTATGCTTTTCTTACTTTCTATTTATCATTTTACGGACATTATACTACATAGTCAAGACTTTTGTGACTGCAGCTTATCAAATTCAAGTCATAAACTGTCTTAGGGCCAACTTGAGGACAATGGATCCCACTTATGACTCTCCTAAGTTCTCTCCATTTCTAATTACATGGAGTTTTTCTGTCCTACTTTTGCAGTATAGCTTGCTCACTGGAGCAAAGGCCTGTTTATGTTCTAATATAATTTGACAAATCAAAACTTTTTTGCACTGTGAACCTGGGTTTGTTTGCTTTGACATCCCTGCCCTATAACGGTTTCACATGTGTAACAAACACATTTTGCTGCATACCATGAAACTTACAGTTATGTAACAAACATGAATGGAGGCCCCAGACCTTGTATAGGAGGGGGTTTGAGGGGGGTGAGTTGGACATTAGATGTTATGTTTCTTTTTTCATAGCTGAGACCACGTCCAGTGCCATTTTTGTTAAAGTTTGGTTTGTATTGTGTGTTCCCTGCAGTAGTTCTTTTTGTGGTTCTCTCCACTCTTAAAAAAATGCTTCATAAGTGACAAGGTTGCATGGTAGAGGTTTATGTGTGAAAAACTTAAAGAAATTCTACTTTTCGATGGGGGTCGGATGGGTTTAATGAGATGAAAGAGTGCACCTCGCTGGTTGTGTTTAATACTGTGTTAATCCAAGGCTGTGCTGGCTTAGACTACAGGTACTTTCGTATTGGCATGCGCAAAGGACAATAGTCCTTAGGCCACCATGACAGAGTCCTCTGTCACGCAGATGGTGTCTGTTTTGTAGTCTAATGCGGAAAATGAGCCCAAGTTTATCAGGACCACCTACCTGTAGCTGAGTGGCTGATAAAAGCAATGTTATGGCGAGCAGTAAGTATCCCTTGCCAAAAAATGATTATTACCAGATGGAAAAATGTATAATACACTTTGTTCACTTCAACTATCAATCAAACATTGATTGAAGTAGCCAACTGGGCGGCTGTGACTCAGGTGGTAGAGCGGGTTGTCCTCCAATCGCAAGGCTGGTGGTTCAATCTCCTGCCCCTCCACAGTCGAAGTGTCCTCGGGCAAGACATTGAACCCGAAGTAGCTCCCAATGGCAGGCAGCACCTTGCATGGTAGCTCTTTTGCCATTGGTGTATGAATGTGAGTGTGAATAGGTGAATGAGAAAACATTACCACTAAGGTAGAAAAGCGCTATATACGCTTTTTGTAGCACTATTTACCATGTAACTGTTGGTTAGGAAAACTGATTAAAGTTTGCAGTTGGTTTGCAACAATGTTTAGGTAGGTGCTGAAAAAAAAAATCAAAGCAAGCTTTTCTCCCAGAGTGAATTTTGCTGCCATCCTTTCCCTAGGTAAGACTAGCCCGTTTTTTGGTTCACTGGTCATCCTTTCCTGGACCATTCTGCATGGTGTTAACTGCTGCATACTGGGAGAATCCCACAAGAGATGCCATTTTAAAGATGCACTGACCGAGTCGTCTATCCGTCACAATTTGATTCTTGTCAAAGTGGCTCAGATCCTCACAGTGCCCATTTTTCCCTGGTTAGTATATGAACTTCCAGGTGCCATTGTAATGAGTATTGACCTGTCTGTAGGCTGAATATTGTTGTTGATCCATGTATATTAGGTCAGTTTCAGCAAGCATTTGCAGTAACTGTGGTGTGTTATGTGTTTTTATTTTTTATTTTTGTAGAGTATGGTCTACGCCTGGGGAGTCAGATTTTCATCAAACAGATGACCAGTACAGGGCTGGCTGCAAAGGATGGGAACCTCCAGGAGGGGGACATCATTCTCAAGGTGCACACACATTTACTAACAATCTATTTCTCCCATATAAGTGATATAAGTTAAATAGCACAGTGCTTCCAAACCTGGTATCCTGGGATTCAATAAAACCTTTTCTCTTGATTTATCAAATTTACATTGTTATTATTACATTTTTCACCTGTTCAAAGCAGATGGCAACAGTTATGAAGAACACAAAACAGATACACAGTACTGTACACTGTGTCACTAAATTAAAATGGACACTCAGACTATATACAGTTGTCAGCAGAAATTTACTGCATAAAAAGACACATAACCCTTTTTTTTTTCTCACTGTCTGACATTTAACCAGACTAAACTTTTCCTGTTTCAGGTCAGTTAGGATTACCAACATTATTTCTATTTGCTAAATGCCAAAATAATAAGAGAGAGTGTTTTTTTTATTACTTTCTTCAAAGTCAGAACTTTACATAGACTAAAACTACTATGCATCCAATATTTGTGGCTAAACCTTCTGGCTGATGATTTTAGGTTTTCCTGAAGAATGTGGAGGTAATTCTCCTTCTTCATTAATCCATTTACTTTGTGTAAAGCAAAAGTTCCACTGGCACTTAACAGCTCTAGAGCATAATACTACCACTACCAGCCTTGACTATAGGTTTGGTGTTCTTGGGGTTAAAGGCTTCACCTTCTCTTCTCCAAACAACTGTCTGGCCATTTTGGCCAAATAGCTTAATTTTTTGTCTCATCTGACCACAGAACTTTCCTCCAGAGAGCCTTTTCTTTGTCAATGTGATCAGTAGCAAACTTCAGTCAAGTCTTAAGGTTCCACTTCTGGAAGAAGGGCTTCCTTTTTGCACAGCGGCATCTCAGCCCATGGCAGTATAGAACACTGTGGACGCTGACACCTGTGTTCCAGCAGCTTCTAAACAATTGCAGACCTGCTTATTCTTGGTTGACTCTCGACCATTCTGACCAACTGTCTCTTAGCAGCAGGTGATAGATTGTGTTCTTCTTGATTGTGGCAATGACACAATTGCACAATGCACTTCATATTTACAGTTGTTTGCACAGATAATTTGGGGATCAATAGCTGCTTTGAAATGACTCTAAGTGACTTTCCTGACTTGGTAAAGTCATTGATTTGCTTCTTCAGATCTGTACTCAGCTCCTTTAGACTTATAGCGTTTGTGGCTGAAGCTGATGAGTATATCAAATGGGCTCCATTTAAATTGGCTCATCGAAGTCATCTGCTGTCGTCAATTGTAATCACTCACAAAAAGGTAAATGGTCATCCCACTAAGACAATTTAATTAACACAATTTTCTACACTAACAAAACTGATAATTCAAATTTCTTTATGTATAATTTTGACCCAGCAGACTTTGTCGTATTACCAGAGGATCTATTATAAATCTACAAGAGTCAAAATGCAGGGTTTTTACAAGTGTGTGTAAACGTTAAACTTTTGTTTACAACTGTAAAAATCTCCAATATTTTCCAAGTATCTAAAGCTTTGTGGTTTGCAAAGCACTCTATCTCTTGCGTGTGTGTGTGTGTGTGTGTGTGTGTTTGTGTTTGTGTGTGCAGATCAATGGGACAGTCACAGAGAACCTGTCTCTCCATGATGCTGGGAAGCTGATAGAGAAGTCAAGAGGGAAACTGCAGCTAGTGGTCCAGCGAGATCGTCGCCAGATCCTCGTTCGCATTCCCCCGCTCACAGACTCTGACTCTGATAATGATGGTGAGTTAATGCATATATGGCCTGACCAACAGCGTTATTGATAAACCATAAGAAGGTGTGTAGGTGGCTACCATATGATGTAAGCAGTACCGCTGTATACAGTTTGCATATGTAAATGCACAGTATATGTATGTGTGTATGTACAGTGGGGTCCAAAAGTCTTAGTGAAAATATCTCTTTTTTGTATTGGTTTGGAATTTAATACAACATGCTTCATTTCAAATGACAATGTCAACTTAACAGTTTAGTAAAAAAGTTGAATCTCTTAAAAACGTACACAAATTTTAAATATTCCTCCTGTTGATGTTCACTCGAGCTGGCTTAGACAGAATCTGATAAACCATTGTGTCTCAGCATTATTTGACAATGTGCTCTCACCAGTTTAGACCACCAAAAGAAGTGAAAAGCATAAATAATCATATCAGAGCACTTTAAAGGTTAAGGTCAATCCCTATGAATATTATAGTGAAAAACCCAGTGACGCCCTTTGAGCAATCAAAACTCCCCAGACTTGAATATTCCCAGCAACATGTTTCACTGTGTATTTGAGGCAATGTGGTAATCATCCTGTCTCCTGTTGGTCTCCTTACATTCTACCTTCTCTTACTGCTAAAGATGTCAAACTTGAAGTAATTTCCATCATCCACTCTCAAATACTGATATATCAGAACCCACCCCTAGCATTTGGCCTCATTTACCCTCCTGAGAATTGATTCAGAGACCCTACTCATCCTCTCAGAGTCTTGTATTTTTTTATTTAGCAAATTTTGGATCAGTGATGAAGCTACGTTTCTATTTTTTCAGTCTATAAAACTCATTGTATTGACCTTCTGATGGTGGGGTCACATGTTTTCCCTGCTGGACCCTGCTTTGCATACAACTGATCTAGTTCCCACTGCTACTGCACTGTCTTCCTAGAAACTCAGAAATAGTGCAAAATTTGAAATGTTTTTTTTATCTTAAAAATCCTAACTTATAGTCCTAGACCCCTTGAACCCTAACAAATATATACATTTACACACACACACACACACACACACACACACACACACACACACACACACACACACACACACACACACACATACACACACACTCATGAGCTACAATATTAAAACCAGAATTATCCTATTACATTGGCACTTATCAAAGGGTCAGACATATCAGGCAGCAAGCGAACAGACAGTTCTTGAAGTTCACGTGTTGAAAACAGGAAAATGGGCCATTTATAGATCTAAAAGACTTGACGAGCTATGGTAGCTAGACAACAGAGTGAGAGCATCCCTAGTGTAGTTGTTAGTAACTGCAGAAAGTGATCCAAGAATTGACAACTGTTCAATTGTTTGTCACTGAAACATGCTAAAAACATGAGGGAACGAAATTCGTTACCCAGTTCCAGCAGCTCACAGAATTACATTTTGCCGTAAAAATCTAAGATAGACCTATCATAAATAAATTAATAGTTAAAGAAGCTAAAATCCTATAACAAATAGAACACATAATTAAAAGACAACAAGCAGCACTTAAATACATCCTTGGTGCATCAATACCCGCATGCAATCGCAGTCCTTGTACTTGCTTTGAGGCAGCGCAGCCTTCTGTCTGATGGGACATGGGTGAACAGTTCATGTATCGGGTGGGTGGGGTCCTTCATGATACATGACCCTCTGTTTCTGCACCTATTGACAGAAATGTCCTCCAAGGAAGAGCGACTGATGTTGGTTTACACCATACCAAACAGTGGTGGAGAGCATCAATATGCTCTCCACCTCACACTGGTAAAAGGTGCTCAGAAGGACGGCCAGATTTAGTCTCCTCAAAAGGCCCAGAAGTTGGTAGGACTTACTTTTGATGCTGGCTGTGTTGGTGGCCCACCTGAGGTCATTAGAGATGTGCAGGGACACTATCTCCATAGCTGCTCCTCCAATAAAGAGGGGGGGCGTGGTCTCTTCTCCCAAAGTCCACCACCATCTCCATCTCCTTAGTCTTCTCCACGTTGATTCAGAGATTGTTTGCTCTGCACCGGTCCACAAGTTCCTCCACCTCCAGTCTGTACTCAGACTCTTTGAGATTAGTTCAACCACAGCTGTGTCATTTGCAAATTTCACAAGGTGACTGGTCTGGTACCTTGAAGTCATGTGTGAGGAGTGTCTACAGCAGACACACAGCTCAGAACACATCCCTGTGGGGAACGGGTGAGTGAGATGGGGAAAATGAGATGCCATGAATCTTAACAGATTTTGGCATGTTTGTCAAGAAGTCCAGGACCCAGTTGCAGAGAGGTGAGTTTAGTCCCAACAGCTGCCATTTGTCGACTAAAGTCTGCGGAATGTTGGTATTAAAAGCATCACTAAAGTCCAGCAAGAAGAGCCTGACGTAGGAATCTCTGCTCTCCAGGTGGGTGAGAGCAGAGTGGAAAACAGCTGACACTAATCAAACACAGACCGGTTCTGCCTGTAAGCACACTGATGGGGGTCCACACTGATCCTGATGAGATCCTTTATGTGGGCCAAAACCTACCTTCCAAAGCATTTCATGATAATCAGGGTGAAGGCCACTGGACGATAGTCATTCATGCCTTTTAGAGCTGAGTTTTTGGGCAGCAGAACGATAGCGAAAATCTTTAGACAAACAGGCACTTCTGCTTGGGAGAGTGAGATGTTAAAGATGTCCACACCTGTGAGCTTGTGAGCACAGTCTCTCAGAACCCATCCTGGGATGTTGTCTAGCCTGCTGCTTTGCAGGGGTTGAGCCTCTGCACCAACCTCCTTACATCCGCAGCAGACGAACTGAAGGGCAGCTCACCCGGTGGGAGTGTGACTGTCACTGCTGAACCGTTGACAGTGTCAAAGGTGCCCAAAGTTGAGTGATGTGTGTCTGTTCTCATGGAAGAGCCACTATAACCCAAATTCCTAAAAAGCTTAGTGCTAATTATGATAGAAAGTTGTCAGTACACATAGTGTATCCCAGCTTGCTGCATTTGGGGCTGTGTCGCCAAAGATAGGTCAAAGTGGCTATGTTGACATTTGTTCAAAGCCGAAAGCACCAACCTTGGACATGTGTATCTCAGAATTGGACCATGGAGCAATAGAAGAAAATGACATGGTCTGATGGATCACGTTTTCTTTTCCAGCCTGTTGACGGCAGGATGCACATACATTGTGTAGCTGTGGAAGAGATGGCAGCAGGATGCACTGTAGGAAGAAGGCGAGCCAATGGAGGCAGTGTGATGCTCTGGGAAATATTTTACTGGGAAACCTAGAGGTCTGCCATTATGTGGATGTTAGTTTGACACATAGTACCAACCTAAATATTGCTGCAGACCACATACAATGCTTCTCTAACTTTAGAACACTTTATTTCACTCTTTTCAAACTAATTGGTGCTCAGACACCTGTCTGACCACCCAGCAACATCTTTCATGGCCTGCAATGTGAGGCATTTAGGGAACATCGATAAATGTGATGTCCATCAATAAGCAGCGCCGACCAGGTGAGGGTTGCGACCAACATTGTCAGTTAGTTGCACCGCTCACCTGATGTGACTGCTGAGTCTGGAGCCCTGATAGGTATTCACCCCCTTCAAGTCAGTATAGTAGATGCACCTGTGGCTACGATTACAGCATTGAGCATGTGTGGACAGGTCTGCACATCTGGACACTGCAGTTTTATTCCATGTTTGCAGAAGTGCTGAAGCTCTGTCAGGTTGCACAGTGATTGTGAGTGAACAGCCCCATGTCTCAGTTCTCTTGCAGAATGCATCAGGTTGTCCTACAGGAATTCTCTATACTGTGCTGCATTCCTTTTTATTAAGATGTTGACTTGCTTGCGTGCTGCCTAAAAATAGGACACCTTGGTTTTAATGTGGTTGATGTCGTTGGTGTGTGTGTGTATGTGTGTGTGTGTTTGTGTGTATACATACATATATACATGAAAAAATAAGAATGTCCAACACTTTACTAGTTAAAACTACTTCCTGAAACTCAGCGGTTCTGCCTTTATGTTTGCACCTACTCAGCTACATTTAATCTGGGCTGAAATTGTTTTTAAGAAAAGCGTCCAGCTTCTTAAATTGAAATCTGACTATGAACTGAACTGATCGTATTGACTGAAAGTACTCACTTGCCAAGCAGAGGCGATCTCTGTAATCGCTCCAAAGTGCAATCTTTGTCTGTGTTTTCTCTTCCAGATAATATGTCATACTTTTAGATGAAGGACCACCCAAGACACAGCATGTGTAACAATCTGTTGCCTTTCTCTAAGCTGTAAAATGGCTGACACAACACAACCTGACTAAGCCGTAAAGCTTTCCCACCTGTTGCACTTCTCTTTACACTGCTTTTTAATACATGACTTATTTTCCTGAATAAATAAAACCTATTTTAATCCATTTATACTTTGATTTGTGTGATTCATTAAGACAGTGACTAATGCCAGTGGAAGATGAATGTGCTTTATTTTTATAATATTGTCAGCTGTCTGAATACTGAATATTAATTCAGAAATCATACAGTGATTTATTTTTGTGCATACAGAATTTTGCATGATAAACTATTGCTCATAAAGTGAGTAGGATGTGGAATTTTCAGTGTTATAATATATATATGAATTGTTCTAACAGTGTTTGTCTAGGTGGTATATCCTATCTCCCTTCACGTCCCGGTTGTCTCTTTCTACATTTTCATATCACAAACATTGTCACATCATGCTCCCATGTCTGACTGCACTGACAGCATCACTGTAATTTAAGGAGACCTGGAACTGTTATGGTCTCTACAGATGCTGCTGTTGAATGAGCTTGTGTCTTCTAAGCACTTGTGTGGAGCCCTGCATTTGCTGGTGGGAATTCCTATACACTGCAAAGATGGTCACCAAGGCAACCACAGAAATTATGCTCGAGAAATGGTACAGCAGTTGATTTAACTCTCTGAGTTTACTTCATTTTAGACCTTCTCATCAGCAGAGAACAGACAGATTGATGGGAAGTATTGGAGCAACACCAACCACAAAGTTATTTGTCAACCTGCTATAATACATGTACCGACCGTTTTTCCTGTTTGAAGCTGCAACTTGCAGCCTGCTGCCTTCAGTTCATAATACAAAAACAAAAAACCCAGTCCATGGGTGTAGAAACAACTGCTCAGTGTTGGAAATCACTTTAAATGTGTCTGATTTTGGCCATGTGATAATATGTAAGGTGTGCAATTAATCAGAAAACAACTGAGCCATTTATTTTTTGGCCCATTCAGTGCTTGGAATCTGGATTCTGTGTTCACACACTTATTTTCAAATAAGATGATGAGTCCACATTCAATTATTTTCTGATCAATGTATGCAAATTACAGATTTTTGAAAGGCTGAAAGTACTAACATTTCTTGCAACTTTGTCTTCACATACTAAAATAAAGTAACAAGTCTCAATTTTAATGTTAAATAGGTTTGCATCAATACATAAATAACTCTGTGGCAGATATTGCTTTTTTGCCACATATTGCACATGTTTTGGGGTTTGAAAATAATTGGACAGAAACCTATGCAGTAAATTTAGTGTTTTGTGGGTAATCCCTAACTTAGACCCTTAGACATCAGCAGACGCTTTGTGTCTTCTCTGGTGAGGCTTTCCCAGAACTTCACTCCAGCCACCCTCAGCTCTGGTGGTGCCCCTGACCCTTGGAGTAAATGGAGGAAATGCATTTTTATTATTCAGTTTGAGGGAGTTCTGGTTTTGCTACCCACAATTTTGTCTTTTTTTTAAATTTTTTTTTTAAAAGTAAACATGCAATCATGCAGTCCCTGCAGTCAGGTACAAACATTTAGTAGTAGGCAAGTATGAAGTCATTTTGACCCCTTGCAATTTGGCCATTATGTTTTAAAACGGTTAAATCTCCCACACAGTTATTTTGTATTACTTTTAACATACTCAAGTTAAAGCTTATATACTTTGCTTTATCATTTCCACCATTTTATTGCTAACTGAATGTACTGAAGCCTGAACAACAAAAATCTGTAACTGTCTAAATACTTTTGATCTAAAATGTATTCTTATGAAGGTGAAATAATGAAAATTAACTGCATTTAACTGATTTTACATTGAAGCCACACTGATTCATTTTTCACACTGAGTAAAGCTTTACATTTCCAAGAAAGTCTATATTTACGCTAATAAAGAAAAAAATCTAGAGCTACATATCTTCCAACTGTTCTAATTTTCACCGGAATTGTTTTTCTAGCATAAAAGTATTTCAGTGGAAACTGTTCATAGCAAAGTGTGTGGATCATGTTTATATGTGCTGTGGTATTGTGATAATTTCCTAATATTTTGTATGCAATGCCCAATACAGTTCAACACAGTAACATGAATGGGATCCATAACCAGATTTATAAATTAACTGTGTTTTTTAGTAAACAAATTAAGTAATTCTACTACAGAGACTGCAGAGAGCAGTGGAGTAGCTGAGGTAACTTGAGTTGAGTTGAGTACATCTTTACAAATACACTACACCTCTGCCACTCACAGCAACACTAACAAGTAAAACTCTGTCCCAAACACTCAATCAGAGGCAAAACTGTGTGAAATAGACATGAATACTTATACTTAGGTAAAAGCAACAATATTCACACAGGTTTGCCATTCCTACTGCTCTGGCCATGGATGAACACATGAAACAAGTGTAAAGCTCTTCAAGTTTTCATCCATTTTTGATAGATTCTGATATTTCTTACAAGAAAATTTTTAAACTTCATCACAATGCAGACTATGCTGTTCCTTACATGGAATTGTTTGGACATTGTTAACAAACCTTACATGACACATTGTCTGATGAGGTTTAAACTCCAATGGCCTAATTTTGTGGCAGCAAAATGACCTCTGCAAGTAGCACTCTTACAGTTTGGTCATGTCCTCCTTGATGATATACAGGCCAAATTTCTAGCGTCCCTCTTCAGAACAGTTTAGGATTCAAGGATTTGAGGCCTTTATTGAGTGCACAGTAACTTTATTACAGAAAGAAAAAAAAAAACTAAGTGAAAGCCCAATGTGTCTGCTTTATAAAGCTGTATAGACCACTTGTCATGTACATCCTGATGACACATTTGTTGATGTAGAAGTTTCCATGAATTTCCTGTTTTCAGTCGTACTATATCTCTTTAAAATTATAGAAATGTTTCTATATCATATCAAATCCCATTTTTTGTTTTTGCCTTTGGCCCACTCTTGTATCGCAGTAGTGTTCCATGTGTTCCATCCATATGTGCTTCCACAGTTCAGTTGGATATGCGGCCGCAATGGCAGTAAGCATAACAAGCTAGGCCACACATTCTTTTGTTGATGTGTGTATATATATATATATATTCCAAAGTCGAGAAGGCATCATTTGCCTGGACTTCCCCAAGTACTGCAGTTCCTTTCAGTGCAAAGGAACTGTTCTGAATACCCAAACTGCCAAACTGAGAGGCAAGATAACCCCATACTTCTGGCTGAATCTCACTGCCTCCCCCATCTGTCTTCTGCTTCATTGTATCATGAAGGATAACTTTCTGATAGTCAGTCCTTTCAAGCATTCATGAGTTGCTAAGCTTGTGAGAGAAGCCTTGTTGTTCAAATCTTGCCTTCTCCCTATCCCTGCATACTTGACTAATTGCTATATAATAGTAGCAAACTGTCAGAATGTCAGTCCCAGAGCGTTGCAACTCATTTTTTTTGGCTTTATCATGCTTATACATGTAGGCCATGTATCGATGGAGCCCTTTTCTTAACTGAACTGGATAACTTTCGACTCCCTTCCTGCACACCCATTATTACCCATAAATAGGGATGTCCTGATGAAGTATTTTTTGCTGCCCCTGATCCAATCCAAGTCATTTTCTATGTAGCATCAGCAGATACTTAGTAAGCCCTGTGATAGACTGGCAACCTGTCCAGGGTGCCCCCTGCCTTCGCCCTGAGTCAGCTGGGATAGACTCCATGCATGTTGGCCAGCAAAGAACATTGTGGAGGTTTAACTAGTTAAGGGTCACCATCACAAAGACCCCTGTGATGCTTAATGGCCTCTGGCAGAGCTCATGTGTTTGAGACAAATCAGGATCAATTAGGGCAAAAATCTTGCATCCCAGTGGAATATGTATCAGAGCCTTCTTAGCAGTCTTTGCATATCATCATGTGTCCGCTGACTAAAACAGCAGTATCAACACAAGTCAAATGTACATTGCACTCAATTTATGTTATCAGTATTAAATATTGATTGATAATGCTACATTATTTCAGGAAATTAATCACAATTAGCCTCACTAATGTCCTGCCACAAACTGTGCTCTTCCTTTACGACACCTGAGTGACTGCTGATATAAACAAAGGATCGGGTTGAGGTTACTGATATTGATCAGTTAAAAATGACTTGATCGGCCCTGATCCTGATGATTGGGATCGGATCAGGACATCCCTGCCTGTAAGTATTTTTCTGATATAGTATATTGACATTTTTATATTTATTGAATCAATCACTCAAACTGTGTTAATACAGGGTCATTTTGGCCAGTTTGATCAGAGAAAATATGCAATTTTACAGCTGTTTGACATTTTAAGTATGTGTCAAAAAAGTTTTTGAGGGCAGTGGATGTAATGTGATCTTCGATTCTGACTGTGGTCACCTGAACAAAATAATGAAAAGACTTTGCTGCCCATAGTAGTCTTCATTTCAGAAAGACAGGCTCATCAAAATACACATGCTGTTGACACTAGTAGCAAACCCAGGGTGCTAATATGTATGGGTACCAATGACTGGCTGAACGACACCGACATTATCTCTAAGGTGAGGTGTTTTTGCACAAATCTCAACAATCATACTGTTTTTCTGTTTATTTCTGGACTATGAATTCTGTTTGACTAATAGCTGCTTTTATCGGCGGACTGAACTGTGGCACCAGAGCTTGTTTTCATGATTCTGACATCTCTAATAATACCCTTACTCTGTCCCGTGGGGTAATTGGCTAGTCTCTGGGCTTCTTGATTTCTTCTTCATTTTTTATTTGGAGGTGGTGAAGGTGGCTGTGGTAGTGGTGGCTTTGGTGGTGGTTACAGTGTGCAGTCTGGAGTTAACTTGTAAGAAATGTGTGTGTCTAACTAAGATGTCCGTCTGCTTGTCAATCAGACATATCAGAGATGGAGTCGTCATACCACTCCTATTCTCCCCCAGAAGACAGGAGGTCCCGTCAGTCTGACCTGTCCTCCCACTCTTCAAATGAAAGGGACAACCACAGGTAGGATGGATGAGTTTAAAGTAAGTCTCACAACTTGACATGAATGACTTTCACAATACTTGTGACCCAATTTGAATGTGACCTAAAGGACTGAGTTATTGACTGCTTTCATAAAACCAAAGACTTGATTTGAGTCTCATTTAGGTCAAATATTCTGCTTTCCCCTATTGCCTTCCAAAATGTATTAATGTTTTTATACCCTGTCTTACATATAAGTTAGTCTGACTGACTGGATGTAGACTACAGATATAAGCCGGCCATAGGCCATGCATTTCACGCAGCTTCATTCTCTCTTCTGCTATGCGCATTCTACGATATTTAAAATCCCCTTGACGAATGGAAACAACAACAACCTCCTGGCAGCAACCTACACGCTGAAAATTTCCAAGTTTTGATGAAGCAGTCCTGCTATTTTTTTCTACAAATCATCTATTTTAATGACTGTGCTCACTGGCATTCAATTGTTCTACCAAACAATTCCATCTCTATTTTCAAGTGACCACAATGGCTGCATTCTGTTTTATAGCCCCGTCCAAGATGATCGTGATTGGTCTGAAGAAATACAAGCGTGCCAGAACTTTTTTCCCCCATAGCAGAATAATACTGAGGTGTAGCCAGACTTTTCTACTATGTGACACTAAATACGAGACTATGAGAGAAGGCATAGTATGGATCCCACATTTTGAGAACGCTCAGAACTCAATACACAGTCACATAGTTATATGTATGAAATACAAGGAAATAGTATTTACAGGTGTGTGGTATGGAAGTGCATGAGTAAAATGATGTTGTTCCACATATGCAGAGAGCTTGAATGATTACAAAAGGATCAAGGAAGACCACTGAACATTGCAGTTGAGATGTGGTCTAGGTAGACACAGCTTTACCGTAGTTTTGTCCATCTCCTACATGAGCTCATTTACCATACTTAGGCTTGAATTATTTGCTGTTACACCTTGTAGTTCTTTCAGAGGCTCTCATTCTGTATGTGTTTGTATCTGTGTTTTTGGGTAAACAGAGAAGAACAAAAGAGAACAGTCGAGGTGTCAGCAATGGCCTCTCCATTTAAAGTGCCTGAAGATCCCCAGGCGTCAGCTGAACTGAACTCAGATGAACAGCATATAGAGGAGCCTCCAGGTGATCTCAGCTCTCACAGTTCACATACATGATGATCCTTTTCATGCAGAGACTCTTTGAAAATGGCAGTCTAGCTAGATATGCTGATGTATTGATATACTGAAACTCTCAAAGCCCCCTTAATTGATTTTTTTGTTTAGCTAGAAACAAATTGCAAACACAACATCTGACAAATTCTCATTTTCAAAAACTTTCTAAGCACTTGTTTGGATGTTGTTTTTGTGTTCAACTGAAACATGTAAGTTCAACTTTCAATACTCTTTTCGTTCCGTTTTGGTCACTTACTCCTGATGGAAATATCTGGCTCATTAGCTGCTAAATGCTCCTCTGAGTTCATCGACCACTCTGTGTCTGTTTGCAGTTTGAAGATGAGAAGATGCTGTACAGTGTGTTTTTGAGAGGTTTTCCTCTGAAACCAACTGCTTCCTGCTCCTGAAAACCTGGTTCATAACAGTGGAGTTGGAAGGTGTAAAGTGAAAACAACAATCTAAGAGGCTACATCAACTGTAGAGCTCATTTGAATGGCAGAGTTGCCGAAAATATGAAAATGACAGAATAGTGCAGCTTTTAAACTATTGTCACATTTGCATTTGGAGCTGCAAATTATTATGAATGAATTTGGTCTGGAAATCATATCACATATAATCATATTGTAACATGTCACTACTGCCTCCTTATCTGAGCGTCTCTAAGGAAGTCATTATCAGCTGCTTCTCTCTAAACTCTGACAGTCCTTTGAACCATTTGGCAATTTCCAAAGTTTCTTTTATGTCATTTCCTTTTTTGATTTAATATATTGTTCGCAGCTATAAACTGAGATTAACAGTGCTCTTCCTAATTTTCATATCCACAGCTGCTGTAACAACCACACCCAAGATCCTCCTACGACTAAGTCCAGAAGACGAAAAAATATACGGGCAAGTTTTTTCTTTCTTGCCTTCTCTATTCATTTTTAATTTTTTTCTGTGTTTCTTTGTTTTCCCTGATTTACCTTTCTGTTTAATCACATGAAAATGTATGTAACTGAAAGAATCATGACAGTAACTGCTGATCGGAAACATGTAGCTACAGAGCCAGAGATACCTGCAGAGAGGTACAGGGAGAGACAGAAAGGACAAAACACAAACTACAGGAGAGAATTGATACATTTGCTCTGCACTCTCATGTTCGTAAACATGGTCAGTATTGTTAATGGAGGCATGTGTTTCTGCTCCTGCAGGCCAAACACTGTGATGGTAAATTTCCAGAAGGGAGACAGCGTTGGGCTGAGACTAGCAGGAGGTAATGACGTCGGCATCTTCATTGCTGGTGTTCAAGTGGACAGTCCAGCTGAGGAAGAGGGCCTCCGTGTCGGAGACCAGATTCTGAAGGTAGTCATCCTACAGAGAAGTTATTTCACAGACAAAAAGCAGCTTGAAATATATTCTACTGTTTTGACTTTCAAAAATGTCAAAAGGGTTGCTTTTTATTTCTGCCTTAACTAAAAAACTACAATTATTTTTTTCTGAAACCATCACATTTCATTGATTAAATATTTCATTTAGTCTAAAGGATTGTCTTGGCTTGCATAGTTCTTCGAACTTGCAAATCCGTTTTGCTACATGAAAGTGGTCCATTGTCTAAACCTTTGTCTTGTTTGTTTGATTTAAACAGTTTAGTTTGTTAAACTCTATGGACATTCTATGAACTTATATGTCCATTTCCAACATTCAACATTTGTCTTAGTTCATTTTCTTGGTTCGGAAATTAACTGCAGTTATCAATTTAAAATGCTACTGCTGCCATTGGAGCCACTTTGTGCACATGTTAAGATGCTACCAGTAACTTTAATAAATTATAAGTGAATCTGATACTAACATGGTCAGCAGAGTTTTCAGTGTTATAAAACAAAATAGCCATGACTGTATTCAACATGTATTACTGACACACAAAAAGTTTCCATCATCTGTTTTCTTCAAAGCACAGAGAAAAAAAAAATCCTAGTCCAGAAATAAAAAGAAGCATTTCAACTCTTCAGTATAAGGAGTTAACTTGCAACAGTCATTCTACTCATCATGTCAAATGAAAGGAAAACACGCTACTCAAGTTAGTCATGTTTATAAGTAGTAGTAAGCAGTCTTCAAACTATATAACTTAGATATGAAAAACCTGCTCTCATTGAACTCCTGTGATATTTACCAGTGTAGAGAACTCACAGAGAAAATGATTGTGTTGTATACTGCTTGCTATTCAGATATTACATATATGTAATATCTGAATAGCAATCAGTTCTAATTATGGTACCCTTTGCCTGTGTCTTGAAGGTGAACAACATTGATTTTCAAAGTGTAGTGAGAGAGGAAGCAGTGCTCTTCCTACTGGAGATTCCAAAGGGGGAAGTGGTCACAATCCTGGCCCAGAGCAAACCTGATGGTAAGACACCCCTTTAGAAACACCTAAAAACACAGAAGTATGATCAGAGTTTCTCTTTTCACACATCAAGTAAAACTATATAAAGAATACAGTTTACATTTGAACATTAAGTAGCCTTTCTATTGGACCCCTCTGATGTTCACCCCCCTAGAAACGTTTGTGTTTTACCACTTTAGGGCAAAATGTCCAGAATGGGTAAAGATGTCCTATATTTAAATGAAGGATTACCATCAAGTTCACCAAGCACTTTAATGCTCCCAAGTTGGTAACTTTATCTCTGTTTAAGGAAATGACTGGACTTTAAAAAATAAATGCCACAATATACCTGTGACCTGTTATCAAGGATTTCTGTTTTCAGTAGGAAACATCATACTTGAAATAGACAGCGGCAGAGACAGTAGGAATCTTGAAAAGTGCTGTGAGAAAGGCAAATACACTGTTGGTTTTGTTTTTATTGCTGGATTTTTGCCAAAAAGAACAGAACACACAATACCATCCTTTCACTTATTTATGTATTACAGTCTAAGCCTGGAAAGCAGTTTTTACAGTTGAATAGCAGAGTTTGACTGTCTGGGATTGAACTTACTGATATTAATGTCATTCTGACTAGTCGTAGTTACACTGCGACTTGTCAGAATTTTTATTCAAGATGTCTGCCACATGACCTGTCAAGATGACAGTTAGAGATGTCCATTATTTAGTTCTGACTAAATAGAATAACTGAAGATGTCTCCAAAATCATCATGACTAGTCTGAATTGTTCATGAATTTGTTCATGCGAGGCTTGCCGTTAAATATTGGTCCAAGAAAGCATTTGAACAGTGTTAGCAGAAGTAATGGGGGCTGTTGTGGTGGATAAGAATCGATAGATTTCTGTGAACTAGGAAAAAGCTCTTCAGCAGGAAGTTTGTGGAGAACAACAGCTTCATTAATTAGAGACATATTTGAAATTTGCTAGAATTGGAACCTCTGCCTCCTCCGACATTGTGGTTAAACAGTCTGTCATATGTAGTTAAGGAAAATGTTTGAAAAGCAGGACACATCTGCCTCCTACTTGCTGTAACTTATGAGATAACTACAGACAACCAAGCACACTCACATTCACACCTACGGACAATTTAGAATCATCAATTAACCTCAACATGTTTTTGGACTGTGGGAGGAAGCACAGGGGGGAACATGCAAACTCCACACAGAAAGATCCCAGGCTTCCTAACGGGACACAAATCAGGGATCTACCTGTGAGGTGACCCCCGAGCCACCATGCAGCCCTAATTCAAGATATTTGTAATTATATTTTGAGAAATAAACATCTCTTTTACTAGTTAAACCCAAATTTTAGGCATCTAAAGGGACAACATCATATCCAGTCTAGGAACATTTTAAAACGGCTTGCCCTATGTGTTAGCAGTGTTGGAATATTTTTTGACTAGAAATGCTTGTGTACTTTCCACACCAGTCTGCTGTCACACTCAAACCTCAGGGCCATCATCTCTCTCTCCTGTTTTTTTTTTTTTCACGATGATGTTTCCATGTAATTGTGGAGATACAAGCTTGGTCCCCTGAGATTTTTAAACCAGATTAGGCTAGTTTTGGTTCTGCCAAGCATGACACACATGGACACCCACACAGAGTCGTTCAGGAACACATCAGGCGATTGAGAGCAACACAATCTGTGTTATGTAATGAGAACATTGGCCCTTTGAGCTTGTGGCTCTGAAAAAAGGGACTGTAGCCTTTTTATTAGGAAAAAAAATGGAGCAAAAACCCTTAACACAATGAGGCAGAGCACTGCCGTGACATTTAAATTGACATTTAAATTCACTGCCTTTATGGAAAAAAAGAAAAAAATATGTTTATATTTTACGTATGTGTTTTTTGTCTTATAATAGGTTCATACTATGATTTACTCATTAAAGCGGCCCTATTCTTAGACAACCCAGTTAATTGAGCATGAACCAAGCAAAAATCAATGTTTTTTATGTGTGTAAATGCATGGCAAATAATGTTTTTTATTAATGTTCAAATGTTATAACTAAATGGTCTGCCATTGTTGAAGCACCTTTCTCACCTCAACAGTTCTACAAAACACAAAGTTTCTCATTCGCTCATTGACTCATTCACTAATGGTGGCAGAGCTGCCATGCATGTGCAGGCGTCAGAGATCAAACAGATGCAATATTATATCATAACTTACATAAAACAATATTACCTGATGCAATCTATAGGAAATATTGTCACAAATTTAAGTTATTTGGATGACAGTTACAATTTTAACAAATTATGTACTTTCTTTTAACAGAAGAGTTGAACCCTGGTTTTGAGAAAATGCTAACATCAGCAAAACGTTAACATTCAGATGCTATCTTAAGTGCCATAAAATGTTTCAGATAACCAAAACATGTTATGTGGTCATCCTTTTCTCATTATTTGATGTTTACTTGAATGTTCGAAACTACCTTGATAAAGGTGTGGTTATTGTCTGTACATCTCAGAATACTAATTTTTTGTCTCCTCTATCCATTTAACCTGTATTTGTTTACACTGACTGGCATGAATCCACATAGCTCTCTGCAATCATTACCCTGCAATTTGGTTAGGAGAACTCGATACAGGCCAAGCCACTGTGGTCTCTTCTATATCTTCCTTCTGCAGTCTTTCACAACAATTCAGTCTTCTGGTTTAAGATCATGGAAGCTCAGTACCTTTTTTAAGGTTATGAAATACATCTCACCATAAAATGCTTGATATTGAGATTTCCATAATTGTTCAGGGGATTCTATTTACTATGGTTCATCATCAGGTGACACAAATTATTTTTAGTCATTCAGAGTCTTAGTGTTAATTGTAGCACTGTTCTGCATGAGGTGTCTGTCTCTTTTGTTGCCCTATGCCTGTGTTCATGGGTCAGTCTTCCAAAAAATATTTCAAAGGGCCTGAAGCTCTTACCCTTGTTCTCATTTGAGTTTGAACTAAGGGGAAGGCGTCTGTCCAATTCAGCCCTCTTTCAGCACAGCATTTAGCCAGTTTGCTTTAAAGAGTGTCATTTCTTTCCCCACCGCTCCTTTACTTACTGGGTGATATACACAATGCCAGTATAAGTCAAAGGTATTCAGTCACCTCTTGTGCTGTGTAAACAAAATTTGTTCCATTACTAATTTGCACTAGCATGAGCTTGGATGTGGGGTAGAATTCAGTCCATTTTGACAACATGTCTAATATGATATTGTAATACATTTTCTATTCACTTGGTGGCAATTCAATAAGGTCCATTTGTAGATGGTTAAAGAGATCTTCAGGAAGGGGAATGTGCAGTTTGGGGAATTCGCTGCCCCCTTTCAACATTGTGTTTGCACAAACAACACAGAATCCTTTTTTGCACCACTATCTGTTTATTACTGTTTGCATTCTCCCTTTTGACACAATGGGTCCTCCCATGTGTCATTTCTGCATAGAAAAGAAAAAGATATTTAGTTAAGTAATGTTTACCAGGATGAACCAAATATCACATCTGAGTTCAGCACAAGCTTGCTTCTAGGAATGTTTTAGCTGTGCTCTACTCTGATGAGCTGTTGGTGTGACTACATTGTCTAAAACAGGAAACTGTATAGGACAGTGTTAATCTCTATGTGCGTTTTGCTGCTATGTCTACCTTTTCATTTCCTGTGGAAATTGGAACAGTTTTGTGTGCATTATATTTGCATATCACAAGTAGATGTGGAAGTTGCACAGCTCCAAGTAGGTCAGCCACTGTTATGATGTGCTATTGATTTGCCTGTTGATGTGAGAAATTGTCTTTGTTTCCATACAGTGTACAAATCATGTACCACTTCAAATAGTAATAAAAAGAAATTCTTAGTATAGATAATTCCAGTCCTACCTTCTGCCAATTTATAGGTCTCAGTAAAAACTTTCAACTCTGGTGCCTGTGCAGGGAATGGAGTGGTTCTGCTTTTTAGTGTGGGGTGTTGTGTTACAACCACATAGCCTACGTGAATTTTACAAGTAGCAGGATCATACGAAAGTAAGCTATCCACCAACAGCTCTAAACCTACATTGTGCTGTCTTGCAGTCCCAGCCTGGGGCTACAAACCTCAGTTAGAGCTGCAAAACAGTCATGTGGCTCACCTTTTTATACTGTGAAGAGTGTACCTGTGTCAGGCACTGTGCAACATTTAACAGTGACTACATACATATGGTACTAATAATGTCAAAACCTGGTAACCTACCAGCTCACTGGAGGCAAAGAGCCTTTTCTGTTACTGCCATTGCTCTCAGGCAGCAGAGCCTAAACCTGGAAGGCATACATTCAAAGCCAAAGTGCACCTCAAACCAAACGACACAGAATATATATTGAGATATCTCCAACCCTCACACACAACGACAAACCTACAACTCTTGTCACCCATCACCAGGAAAACACCTTATTACAGCCCCTGGTGTTTATGTGGTGGACTAGTGAACATTGTGTGGGGAGATAGCCTGTGTAGGCCCAGCTGCAGAGCATGCTCCAGATCCCACCTGGCAGACATCAGAGATGACTGCCCTGGAGCTCCAGACCTGCTCTCAGCCCATGTGCTCCCTGCCTCCCATCACCTGTGATTGGTCCACCACCCATGCTTCCTCAAAGACCCCACCAATCACCCACACCTGGCTATAAAACCTCAGTCAAGCTCTAAGTCAGGGTGGCTGGGATTTAACATGAACAGTTCACCATGGTGCCTCTTGTTTTGTCTCTTTATGTTTTCTGTATTTAACCATGGCTTCTGTTGGCTGCTGCTAACTTTGTGTGAAGTTACTTGTGTCTTGGTGAAGACTGTGGCTTTAGTTAGCAGCGGTCCAACTCAGTTCAGAAGTTACTCGTGTCTTGTGGGCTTTTTTGTTTGATGTGTGTTTTGGAGGCACTTGTTTTAGTTTCGTTTGTTAGGTGTGGGTGTTACTATTTTATTTAAGTTTGGTTTCATTTGGTTCATTGATTTTAGCAACATCCACTCATTTTCTTTGTATTATCACAGTTGTTTTGCGTTCATTTACGTTACTAAGCAATAAATTGCTTCACCTTAACCAACAGCAACTGTTTTTTTGTTACATCCACCTGACCCTTGAGGTTGAATCCTAGCACCCCTTTCTCTTTTGCTAAATTCAGCATTTCTTTTTTAACCCATGTAACGATCTACTAAACACTGAAATAAATGACCTCTCCTATGACTACTTCTGCAATGTATTTTCTTACCTGTGACATCATAGAAAAGGCTTCCAGTTTGATCGAACCACAAGGTCTGCCTAAGACCAGTGTTACACTTTCTATGTTGGCAAGTAAGCTGTCTATATTTAGGGAGTTTGTTACCTTTGTTAAAGTCACCAAGGACAATAACTAAGGAGTCTGGGTGTGTCCACTCCACACACAGTCTCTGGTCACCAAGAATGAGCTGTACATCCCAAGCATGAATGGAGCGAACTCAGGAAGTAAAAAGATTTGCAGTTGATAGAAAAGATTCCAGATTTGGATAGCAGTATTCATGAATTACTGTCACACCACTACATGAGCTACTGTTGGTATAAAAACAGATTCCTCTGCCTGTACTTTTATAGGAGAGTTCAGAATGATGATCCGCTCTGAAAAGCTGGAAGCCTGCCAAGTGTAACACAGAGTACGATATCGATCAACACAGCCACGTCTCTATAAAGCATAAAACAGAAGCCAAAGGAAAGTCTCTGTTGTTAACCGATAGAAACTGAATTTTGTCCAGTTTGTTGCCAAATGAATACACATTTGAGTGAAATATCCCTGGTAGCGTCATGCAGAGTCCGGGATTGTGGAGACGCACAACCGCACTAACAAATCAAACTTCCGCAAAGTAAAATCTTGACTAATTTCTTTACCCAATTTCACTCTCCTGATTCTCAGTTAAAGATATTGTTTCATAACGTTGGCCTACTACATGTCAGTATAATCAATTTTATAGTGCCATTTCCTGATGATACCAGTAGTTTACCACTTGTGTGCAATCCTAGACTCTGGGTAGACTCTGAGTCCCTGAGGAAAAAGTTTGGAATCCTGCTGATGCATCATTGGCCAGAAGGATTTGAGAAAGTGTTTGTTCTGTTGAGACTGTCTACTCTGAACTTGCCGGAACTTTGCCCTTACAGAGAATACAATTGAAACCTTAAAATATGGTGTCTTTCTGCATTCAAAGCAGTATGACATTTCAGCAGTGCAATTATTATTTAAAAAAAATTAATATCCAAATTTATGTCAAGGCTCTAAAGGTCAGAAACTCTCAAAAGCATGATACCATCAAATTGTTTCAGAATGTGGTGGTCATGACTTTGTCTTAACCATATGCTAGTATTTTACTGTATAGTTGACTCACCTCTTCTTTTTTGACATTCATCTTTTTAATGCCTCCTCTTTATCTCCAACTCCTTTGTCTGTGTAGTCTATAATGATATCTTGGCATCGGGGCGTGGAGACTCCTTCTTCATCCGCACCCACTTTGAGTGGGAGAAGGAGACTTCTCAGAGCCTGGCCTTCAGTCGGGGGGACATCTTCAAGGTGGTTGATACCCTGTATGACGGCAAGCTGGGTAATTGGCTGGCAGTCCGTGTTGGCAGGGACAAGCAGCTGCTGGAAAAGGGCATCATCCCTAACAAGAGCAGGTAGGTCTTAGACTAAGATAACAGGCTTTTTACTCTGCCTTTCGGTTTCAGTTACATAAGCACATATACCAAACCAACTGTATTTAATAACTTTCTTCCTTGCTCTGGTAGTGCAGTGGGTCTGGCTCTGTGCCTAGTTGTGTGACGGAAAGGGCACAGGTATTTGTCACCTGCAGTCACAGCAACAACCATTGTGGAGCTCACAGCCCTCTCTGTTTTAAATGCTCCCTGGTAGTCATTGGTAGAGAAAACATTATCAGAATTTCTTTCACATACATTTGCTTAGCTTCTTCCCAAGAAAAGCTTTGAGGGAAAAGTGATTATATGAACAGTACACTTCAAAAAATAATAAATAAAATACAAAACATAGAAAACAAATTATTCCAACATGTACTGACTAAAGAACAAGCTCTTCATAACTACACTGAATGAAAATATAAATGCAACACTTTTGTTTTTGATCCCATTTTTCATGAGCTGAACTCAAAGATCTGAGACTTTTTCTATGTATCCAAATACCTATTTCTCTCAAATATTCACAAATTTGTTTAAATCTGTGTTACTGAGCACTTCTCCTTTGCCAAGATAATCCATCCACCTCACAAGTGTGGCATATCAAGTTGCCATGAGCCCCTGCCTTCTGAATCAGTCGCTAAAACCTTTATCACAAAGCCTAACCTTAACAATCGCTAATGAATAAACTTGTTAAAACCACTACACTACCAAACGCAGTCATATCAATACACGTGGTGAGCTTAACTGCAGGCCCATGTCAAACAGAGCTTCAAAACATTCGTCCATCCATTTTCTTCAGCTTATCTGGAGTCAGGTCCCAGTGGCAGCAGATTAGGCAGGACATTCCAGACATCCCTCTCATCCACAACATTTTCCAGTTCATCCTGAGGGATCCCAGGGCATTTCCAGCCCTGATGAGGTATTTGTTTTTGTTTTTGGTGAAGTAGGTGATGCTACTTAGGCTTCATGGTAGGCCCAGCCATTTACGCAGGAAACTGCTGACTTTTCTCTCGAAGCACTCAACGGTGGTAATTGGCACGTCATAGACCAGCAGTGGTCAAAGCAGTCAGGGTAAGATGCCGTGCTGTTAGATCCAAGCTTTAAACTTGCCTGGCAGTCCTGACTTGTCCAAAGCTGTTAGCCAGGTTCCCAACTAGTCAGTGGTTGGTTGGAAGGCTGCGGTATCTTACAGGGTGCAGTCGTAGATCTTGCCCAGACTCTTGACTGGCTTTTCTCCAACAGATGGCATCTGGGTGCCTCCTAGTGAGAAGCAGAACTGGTCCGTAACTTTCCCTTGCTTCACCACCAGGGACCTGGACTTGGCTGGCTTGAAGTCCATCCTTGCTCAGTTGAAGAGACAGCCCTTGGAGGATCCATCTGCAACCCGGAACTGATGTTTTGGTTAGATCAGATCATCCATAAATGCTCTGATGAGGGGCTGCCATATACCTGACTTGGTTAGTGGGCCTCTGCATTCACTTCTGCTGACTTCACCAGCTTGTTTATGGCCATGGTGAACAATATCACCGAAATGGTGCATCCGGTGATAATGCCCTTCTCAAGACGATGAAATGCAGATGTCACTGTTCCAGATGGGACTCTCAAACTGAAGGAGTTGTTGTAGTCCAGTATGAGGCTCTTGATCTTGTCTGGAAAATGGTGTTGCTCAAGTGAGGTTTCTACCAGCTTGTGTGGGATTGACCCGTATGCATTATCGAGGTCGAGCCTGAGGACTGCCAGGTCCTCTTTGCCTTTACGTGCCTCATGAATCAGCTGGGTGATGACCCCTGTGTGTTCAATGCATCTGCATCACTGTAGGTGGTGCAGAGATACTTGTTGACCTCTTCTTTGGTGCATGCGAGATGGCCATTTTTTTTCTGCCTAAGAATCTTCTTGGTGAAACGAAAGGGGTTAGAGATGAAGGTGACATGTTTCTTGGCTCTCTCCCTGCCCTTCCTCCTGTGCCACTCATTCTGCCAGACCAGCTTTTTCCTCCTCCCTTGCATTCTTAAACTGTCGTCTAAGCAGTCTGAGCCTGCTTCTTAGCTGGCTGCTCTTCACCTTCTGTTTGGTTGTGCCAGACCTCTGGTCGGTTGTTGTTCCTTGGTGCTGAACCTTTCAGAACCAATACTGATGATCATTGTGGACATAGCTCGCAACTTCTGGTCTACTTCCCCTCTAACTATAGCTTTAAGGGCTTGGTCCAGGTCCTCATCAAGCTGGACCCACTCTCTCTCCTTGTTGGCAGCGGACCACTTGATTCAACGTTGTTTGGAATGCCTGATGGGTGGAGCTTGTGGTGCTTGAAGGGACTTGGCACTGTGAGGTGACTCCGGGCCAGGCTCCTCCTGCGTCTCACTAGGTACTGGACCTGTGCGTTGCACCACCTGCTTCCCTGTCAAGCATTTCATTTTGGCCCGGTGGATGGTCAGGCCATGCTGGTTCTTGCAGACTTTGCCACATACACAAACTGCACTAATCGTCGTTTCTCCATTTACATTAATCAAACTTACTGGAATTAATAATAACATATAATAATAAACTTTGTTTATAGAGCACTTTTCAAAACAAATGTTACAAAGTGCTTTTCAAGAAAATAAATTAAAGTTAAAATACAATTAGCACACAGAATAACTGATAAAAGTAGAAATTAAGCAAAGGCTGGCAGGGAGACTAATTATAACCAATAGAGTCCAAGGAGGGACAATCTAAATCAAAGTCCAACCAAAGTAAATCCAACAAAGAAAACAAGGCATAATCCAAATGTGGAAACCAAAAACAAAGAAAGCAAAGAGACTGGAGACAATGCAGCGACATGAGAGCGTCCATGCATTGCAGGATATGCTCGGAAGAATGCAGGTAAGCAGACAGACTGACAACTGACAAGGAGAGGGACTGGACTATAAATACATTGGTGACTAACTGGGAAACAAAACATAAGTGAGACAAATGAGAGCAGGGCAGACAAACAGTTGGGAGAAACATACAAAGGAAAAAAACAAAAACACTGAAGCATACAAAGTGACCAACATAAAAATAAATAAATAAATAAAAATGACAAAAAGGAGAGACCCCGAACATAGACACAGACAAACACAGTGAGACAAATCCAGAGAAAGTAATGAAGTCCTGGGAACGTAAGCCATGGTTGGACTGTTTGCATGACATGTAGGATGATATGTAAACAGGCAGCAAACCAAGGATGGATGAAATGATACCAATGAAGAAGTCTGCACATGGACAGTGAGGACCACTTAACCAAAGACTACAGTGTGCAGTGGTGTGTGAGGGGTTTACAGCCAGTAACGTGCTCCATGATAAACAGCATTCAACAGTTTAAGAGATTGGGCTGAGGCATTCAAATAAACAACATTTATATATTTTATATTATATATTATATTATATATATAATATAATGTAACACTCTTGGCTCAAACATGATATTTGTATAGATACACATTCAACTGAAACTGAAAATGAATGAATGAATGGTTTGATACATTACCAAGTTCCATAGCAGGTTTTATACATTAACATGTACATGACTAATGAATGGATAAATTGTTGGTGTATGTGTCCTTCTTGTCAGAGCGGAGCAGATGGCCAGTGTCCAGAGCTTTCATAAAGTTGTTGTGGGTGATCGAGCCGACTTCTGGCGGTTGCGAGGCCAGCGTTCTGTGAAGAGAAAGGACCTAAGGAAGAGCAGAGAAAACTTGAGTAGTCAAAGCCTGACCACCCACTTCCCAGCATATGAACGAGTGGTGCTTCGAGAAGGTGGGCGAAACACCTGCTTATCACTTGATTGATTTCTTTGTGGTATAAGTCCTGGCTTTTGGTAGAGCTATCAAGGATAAAAACTTGTTCGCAAGCCACTCCAATGTTTTCTTAGTTGTATGCTTCAGGTCATTTGTGTGCTGTCAGGCAAACGACTGGCCTAATCTTATATTGCACGCACACTGGAGAATGTCTATCTGCAAAGACCTTTCTGTATTTGGCTGTGTTTACTTTCCCTAAACTCTGACCAGTCTACCTGTTACTACCACTGAAAAGTATCCCCGTAGCATGTTGCTGCCACCACCATGTTGTACCACATGGATGACATTAGGCAAGTCATGAGCAGGGCTTGGAGTTCAGCCTCAGGCTCTTAGGCTGATAAAGCGAATTCCCTTTGGGGTTCGTGGGGGGTTTGATAGTGTGGTGTCAAAGTGGTTGTAGCAGTTGACTTGGTGCACATCAAGGCTGCAGGTGGGTTCAGGGATTTTTGGTGGCTTCTCTGGGCCTCTGAAGAACTTCATTGTGTAAGTGTCCACCACAAATAAGAGTGAAGACTAGTGTGTAGTTTTATCAGGTTGTGGTTAGGCAGTTAGAGGGGCAGGGCAACGGTGATGTTTTTGACTGTGCTTGGGCTGTGGAGTTCCAGCTGTTGTAGAGTTGGTGTCACTGTTTTGCACCAGTCTGTATGTACTCGAGCAGGTCTTTTTCCACTGTCATGGCTACTGCTAAGACATTACTGAGAGCTCCATCGGAGAAGCTACTGGAGTGCTGTTCACAAGACTAATTAATTTCCAAGCATTTTGAGATGGATATGAAAAAAGAAACACATCTTAAAAGAAAATCTGTTTGGAGTGGGGATTCTTAAGCCTAAAGTGCATACTGTGGGGGCTTTCTTGGACACATTTGAGTTGACTACCTCAAGTGAAGCTGCATTAAGTGGTACTGCATTGATGTTTGAGCAGTGCAAAGAATTATAATTGTTGCAAGCAGAAATTAAAAGGCTTGAACTGGAGGAGGGCAGGCTAACTGAGTAATGTTGACATGACAAATTTTTTAAAAATATTTTAAAGTTCTGTTTTCAGTTACAACTTTCTGTCCCTCTTTTGGCGTGGAGGAGTCTGAGGAGAGGCGCCAGGAGCGCCTCATTTACATATAATTTGCATACCAAGGAGCCAGCTTTGTCCTTCCTTCAGAATCTGCAGGTCGATGACTGACATGACTGCAAGTTCAGGCAACACAGCCCTGCCTCCTTACATTTTAATGTGAAATAATGAATATGTACATGTTTTGAGGTTTCTAAGATTTTTATACAAGCTTTATTTAATATTGTAGAGGTGATGATTTCTGAGAGCTGTAGTTAGTGATGCAGTTGAACTGTGCCATCTTATTCTCACTTATGTCAGTGGATTGACAATAACTTAGCAGAAACTCATTACTGAAAATTACTAAACCTTGCCAAAGTGAACATGTAATGCAGATCTGTTTTATAGGACGACGTGTTTGATCAGAATCTACCTCATAAACAAGGATGGATGGGGAAACACTTTCAATTATAATGTAATTAAAACCGATCAACCTATGCTCTACATGCAAACCTGGCATTTGTCCTGAAACATCCAGAGGGTTATAGTCTGTCAGACACACAAACATCACTGTATATTCATGTAAATACCATTACCTCACCTGTACCACACACTGAACATCATCCATAGTTAATGATGTACGTAGAATATTTCATGTCAACTGCTTTACTCAAAACCTAAAGACAGATGAGCTCTTACTCTGCCTGTCAAGTAATAAAACAGACACCCTTTCAAGCATAAGCAGTGTCTGATGTTAGAGGTAAATTTAACTCTTTCTTCAACAAGTCATATCAGACAATTCATATTTAGAATGCAGTTGAAAAGATACTTAATTAAATTTAAGAAAATTCATTTTATAACAGGACTAAAGTCTCTTACAAAACATATGCCCAGAGTAAAAACAAAACTCCTCCTGGCATTCATTAGCGGAGCTGATCAGCCTTCAGTTTTTAACAGCATCATGCTGCTGATTAAGACTGAAGTGCTGCTGATGTTCTGTGGAGTCTCCCAGCAGTCAATGAGAATCTGGTTTTCTTCAGCTGTCCCTCCACTAAAACATTGCTTAATGTTATTTTCAGTGCACAGTAACAGTCATAGGAATAGACCAAAGTTGTACTACAAGTAATGAAGACTAGCAAATAATTCAGAAGTACAAATTCAGCGATCGAGTACAACATTAAATAGCAATATAAAGTTGTGAAAATTAGCTTTGACCTCATTCAAACTGATTTGCCAGTGAACAATAAAAAAAATTACGCTGTGAGACCAAACTGCAACTGTTGGATACATGAAAAACGACTTATCTTTGTTTAGCCACTACAGAACTATCAGAGCCAGCAGCAGATTTTAAAAAATCTTGCTGAGATAAGGCTGCCCTCGGTGGGCTTCTGTGAGCGCTGACCACCCGCTCATTTTGATAGATGCATACTGATTGTCTAACTAGGACACTGACATCTCTGAAATCATTGGAGCAAATTTTTAAGCATGTTTATTCTTGATAAATTGACCACATATTTGATGTTTCTACAACTACTTTACCACCTAAAATAATCTTAAAACTATATGTTGTGTCACAACAACGTTAGTATTTACACAAAACTTCTATAACCTTTGTAGGTTTTTTCCTCGGCCTTTGCCACTTCTTGGTGTGAAATACATCATGGGATATTTGGCAGCTCCAAGGCCACACACAATAGAAATATGTGAGGCTATATGAGGCTCCTTGTGCCTCCTCTCAGACACCTTCCCTCCACGCCAAAAGAGGGACAGAAAGTTGTCATTGAAAACTTAACTTTAAAACATTGTAAAATGAGCCAGGCTATGAGTTTTTTAAGTAGCGTTTGGAAAACTCCATGTCAGGGTTTAGTTAAGCTACTTGACCCAAATGCAGAAACAACACTCAGGAGAGGTGGAATCAAAAAATAAGGTTTATTGCAGAAACTGATATTGTAATGACGAGAATGAAAACAAGGCAGGGGTGTTACCAGTTGTGCGGTGATAGTCCTGGGAACAACGGAGAAGACTTGGGTTCGATGCAGGTGAGAAGCTCAAAACGTGAATCGGGAACACAGGGAAAAAATCCTCAATGAAGACAAGGCAGTAACAGAAACTCGGAAAGAGGCACGAAGGTAGGCTCGGAGGGAAGCTCGAAGGAAACACTCGGGTAGTGGCTAGAAGTCGCCATGTAGGGCAATGCTCAGGCAAAGAGTGAGTGGTGAGAGCTCCTCTTATACATGGGGTGACGACCCAGATGAGTTGCAGGTCTGTAGGCAACACACCTGCAGGGAATAAGTCACCGGGAGCAGAGTTCCTCCAGGACGCCCTCTGGTGGACGCCTGGAGGAGAACATAAACACAAGCCAAAAACACCATTCCCTGACACTCCATCCATGTTGTTTGGTCTTTTATTAAAGAGTGGCTTCCATCTATCCATTATCAAGGCATGATTGATGAAGTGAGATGGTTGTCCTTCTAGTACGTTCTCCCATTTCTTCTGTGGACCTCTAAAGCTCTGTTAGAGCGAACAATGGGTTCTTGGTCACATCCATGGCCGAGACAACTGTTTCTCAGTTACTCCTTTTGGTAGCAGAGGTCTAAGGGATGTCCATGAACTAGATGGTTTAGTTTTTGTGATATGCAGTGTGAAATGTAGGATCTTATATATGCAGGTGGAGACCATTCTAAACTATGTCAAATTTTTTTCTATTTGCAATTGATTACCTTTGGTCTACCTAAAAAATCAATCCATTTCTGTCCTACATTTGAACAACCTTGACACCATATCAGCATAATGTGTGTGTTTTTGTGTGTGCAGGTCTCTAGAGCTAGGCAGCAATATGTACATGATGTAAATATTATGAATTGTGAGGATTATTATCAATAATTATCAACATTGTCATTGCAGCTGGTTTCCGACGCCCTGTGGTGCTGTTTGGCCCTATTGCTGATGCTGCTACTGAGAAACTGGCATCTGAGATGCCCGATCTGTTTGTAATTGCCAGTGAGTCTCTTCCAGCTCCATCTGTGTGTTTAAGTGTTACAGTCTTTGTTTAAATGTAAACACATATCCCAGTACTGCTTCTAAATCTTTTCAATAATGTTTCTGTGTTTTTATATTAGAAACTGAGCCGAAAGATGCCGGCTCTGAGAAGTCCTCAGGGGTGGTTCGTCTGAACACCATCCGACAAATAATTGAGCAGGTACCTAGTTTCACACACACACACACACACACACACACACACACACACACACACACACACACACACACACACACACACACACACACACACACACACACACACAGAGTCAGTCTACGTCATGCCAGGGGGCTGGTACATATCATAACTATTTTTTTAAAGTCAAGAGTTAGTTATCGTAAAAGTCCACGTACATTCCAGCTACTTCATTCAGCAACAAAATGATTGAACAAAAAAAAAAGAGTCAACGTTTAATATTATGTTAATTTTGAAACCAGATGTTGATTCAGGTTTCACTTTTGATGAGAAGTGTTTTAGTTTCATTGTTATCAGGGACATTTTAAGTTTCATTCTTCCTTATTTTAATTTTTACACCATCAAAGTACTTTGAGGCCACAGCTGTTACCATCTTTATGTATTTTTACCAATAGGGATGTCCACTTCAAGTATGCAGATTAACTGTAGTATCTCTTACGTTTTAATACTGTAGCAACCACGGGAGGCGGGCATTTTAGTGTTGGCAAATGGGGAATAAATCGATCTGACTTGTTTGTATATCATTAAACCAATCACAGTAGTCGTAGGCGGGACTAAGTGAAAGATACTGCCTCGCAACAGTATGTGTCTGCCGAGCCGGAGGGTGCACGCTCAGGACCCACACCGATAGGACCGCACTTCTGGGGCTGCACTCTTCTTCTATGGCTGCACATTTAGAGCATTTTTGTTGAGACAGTGTCACCTACCACAATGGATGGTCAGTAAAGTGCACAATTGACAGTTTTAAAGGAAGATTTCACTCAAAATATACTTAGACTTTTAAAGTTTTTCTTTTCAAGGACTATTCCACAGAAAGTACTGCTTTATGTCCAAGTAGCTATAATATTAAAGGTTTATTCCACCCAAATAATGATTTTGAAGGTTTTAGAGATTTATTGCACCCAAAATACTACTTACTACAACAATAGTAATAACTTTGTTGCTAAGACTTGCATTTGGATAAAATGTGTAAGTATCATATTTGTGTCATTGTCAGGTAAAATAATATCAGAATCATATGCTGTGGCCTTTGTGGTCTCTGGATCTCAACCAGAACAGTTTAAAAGGTTGGAAAGAGTAAATGTGTCTTATGACTCCCATCACTAAATCGCTGATCTCACTAGCTCCTGAGGGAGACACAGAGGGACAGACATTAAATGCTCAAGTAGCTATAGCACTGATATATCTGATAAACTGGGCATAGTTCACTTTTTTGCTGTGGCAAAATATACTTTATTTTTTACAGTTTTACAAAGTTGAGCAACAGAACGGGCAGTGGTAGTGTTGGCAGCATCTGGTGTTCAATATTGGGAAGGATCTCCTTTGTTTGGTTGTTATTTGCACCATCAAAAAAGAGAGGACAGTAAAATGAACCTTTATTAGATCACTGTGTAAACATAAATAAACCTAAATTAAAGCCAATCCGAGAACTGGATCAAGGACATACTAAATGTCTCAACGTTACAAAACAATGTCACAATGAAAAGACTAACTATGAAAACACGCACTGTGGAGGAAAATGTAGTTTCACTGTTGAACCTTTCTACAGCAGACACTTGGACTCGTCACAGGAGGAACAACTGATGACTGAGCTCCATAAAGGTTCTCAGTAAACTGTGACAGAACCAGCAGCTCTAAGAGGAATCCAGTATTAACAACTCTGGTTTAAACTGGGACCAGTTCACATAACTGCAGCTTTATTAACATTAAAAATGTAAAACAGTGAGTAGTGAGCATTCACACTGAAGGTTATAGATGCTTATTGTAGACAGACAGAGATCATTTCAACATGCGTCTATCATCTGATGGAGTTTCATTATGCTGTCTATAGTTAATTATCATCATCTCTGAGCTGAGCTGCCAAAATCGTGCTATGACTCGTGAAACAAATCAGCAAACAAGCTAAGGGTTGGTTTTACAGCAATTGTATTTCGATAAAACCTGTTTGTAGTGTTTAATGACGAGTTCAAACATGGTTTGTTTCTCACTTTAGCAGATTAACAACAGCTTTGCTGCACAAATGAATACATCAGAAATATTTATAAATTAAATAATAAAATGATTTACGATCAGCACTCACCACGGTCCTAGAAGTCCAGCCTCCGGCTCTGCAGACACACCCTTCACACTCCTTCACCCTTCTTCTTATATCTGCATCCTACATTTTGTGAGTCAGACTAATTTCCCCATGACATTTGAGCCCTTTTCTTAACCAGTAATATTAGCACAGGATAAATATCTAGTTGAAATCAATTATCAAATTGATTAATTATTGATTCTTAAAGCTGTATTGTTCAGAAAAGTCATGACATTTGTGACAGCGCATGTAAACTAATGGATTGGGCTTAGATTCATATCAATACCGATCAGTTAGAAAATGCCTTGATCAGCCCTAGAATCAGGACATCCCTAGTAAATGGTAAATGGTCTGCACTTATATAGCATCTTTCTACCTCAGTACTCTAAGCTCTTTACAATGTTTTGTCATTCACCCATTTACACACAAACAGTCACACACCAGTGGCGACAGAGCTGCCATGCAAGGTGCTTGTCTTCCATCAGGAGCAGCTTTGGGTTCAGTGTCCTGCCCAAGGACACTTTGACATGTGAGGGAGTAGGGATTCACAAAAAGGCTACTGGGACAAATTTTCTAACCATAATCTTTGATATTGTTCTTGCCCATTGACTCATCCATTCAGTCAGGCTGGTGATGTTTAACCATTGTTTCTTGTTTTTTTTTTTTCTTGTATATATATATATATATATATATATATACACACACATACACATTGCCATTTTTGCCTTTATTTAGAGCAGTAGAGATAGACAGGAAAGGGGGGAGAAGAATGGGGAGAGACCTGCAGCAAAAATGGGAGTCAAACCCACGACCGCTGTGTTGGGGAACTATAGGCCCTGTTCATGGGTCGCCTGCTCAACTAGGTGAGCTATTGGGGCGCCCATTTGTTTTTTTAATTACCATCTATATTTAGACAAACTTTAGTATTTTCAGTTATCATAAACATGAGTGTGTTTTTTAAAGAGGTGTTCATGTTTCTCTGAGGAAGTTCTAGTTTAATTGTTGAGTTACTTCTTTCATAGCGTAACACCCTGTCTGCATAGAAGGCATGAGAGCATCAGCATAGGCCTGCAGCTGCTCCAGGAAGATGAGTCACAGTGCAACTGTGTAAACAGATTTGTCAACACAAAATGAGTCATAAAAGTTCACACAAACACTTGCACACAAATAAATGTTTATCTGGTTTGTCAGATGGCATGCAAAAGACAACCTTCTGTGTAGACACAGCTTAACCATAGAAGTATGGAGGGGTCATGATGACTTGGTCTTGATCAAATAATATTTATCTGAAGTTATGCTATTAGCCACCAGAAGACTGAGTAAGGCTGTAGCAGAAATACCCTGATGCTTATTAACTCAATTTTTAGTGTGTTTAAGAATATCTGTTTTACCTGTTGATTATATAATATGTCCTTTAAAAGAAAACACCAGTTTTACACCAAAACTGCAATTTTGTCAGGCCAAGACATAAAGTGAGCCTTACTTTGCGTCACTATGTAAGTGCCACTTTCTCAATTTTGGATAAACCAAACACATTCCAGAATGAGGAGACCCTCTGCGCTTTCAGCTGATCCACAGCCCACCTAATGTGATACTAACCTTAATGTTCACCTTTGTTTTCCTGTTCCTCACACCACATAGGACAAGCATGCCCTCCTAGATGTGACACCTAAGGCAGTCGACACCCTGAACTACACCCAGTGGTATCCTATTGTCATCTTCTTCAACCCTGACAGCAAGCACGGCATTAAGGCCATGAGACAGAGGATCCTACCCAACTCCAACCGCAGTGCCCGCAAACTCTACGAACAGGCTGTCAAACTAAGGAAGACCTGTTCTCACTTATTCACTGGTACAATTAACACTCATACAGAGATTCAATCAGGCTGAAAGCAGTTCTGCTATAGCTGGAGATTTGACAATATTTAAGTGTGTATGCTGAGATTGGATGGTTTTCTCATTTAGCCACCATTGATCTGAACTCTGCCAATGATGCCTGGTATGGCAGTGTTAAAGACTCCATCCGTGAGCAGCAGATGCAGGCTGTTTGGGTTTCTGACGGGAAGGTAAACACACACGCACACATACACACAAACGTGCACACAGGAAATTTATGTGCTACATTTACATTTACATGTGCTTAGAAGACCAAAATGGCATACCACAAACAGTAATCATCTGTTGAAAATGTGTGCATGCACCCATGCACAGAATTCTTTGTTTCTAAATCTTAATTCACTTCAGAAGGCAAGCTGATGGCTGAGAGTCATACTCTAACAACAACAGTGCCACAATTTCCTGACACAGTGCTGATGATGTACACATATTTTCACAACAGGTGAGCTAGTTAGTGTGACTGTTGAAATCATCATGGCAACCAGTTACTCAGGCGATTAACTATTTGAGTCCTTCTTTCTCAGTCCAGCATTAAACATGACTGCTCCCACAGGCCATGTACAGTCAGGTCCATAAATACTTGGACATTGACAACATTTTCAGCATTCTGGTTCTGTACACCACCACAATGAATTTTGAAATGAAACAATCAAGATAGACTTTAAGTGCAGACTTTCCGCTATAATTTGAGGGTATTTACTTTCAAATCAGGTGAGCAGTGTAGGAATAACAACATATGGTATTTGTGCACCTTTTTAGGGGACCAAAAGTAATTGGATGTTGTAATTCTTACACCGCTCACCTGATTTGGATGTAAATATTGTCAAATTAAAGCTGCAAGTCTGCACTTAAAGCACATTCTTGATTGTTCCATTTCAAATCCATTGTGCTGGTGCACAGGGCCGGAATGCTGAACATTATGTCAATGTCCACGTATTTATGGACCTGACTGTATCTCATCTGGCCTGGAAAGCATCGCTGGGGAGAAGGACTCCTGAAATCACCTGCTTCACCTGCTGCCTCCACAACCAGATAAACAGAAGAAAATTGATGGATGAATGGATTATAGGAAGTAGCAAGAGCCATCAGGAACTACCAGGAACTCTGTAGCTAATGACAGCCAACAGGATCCATCAGGAGCTCACATGAGCTACGTGGAGCTAAGAGAAGCTAACTAGACCCAACGGAAGCTAATATGAGCCAATAGTGTAACGGAAATACTGACATACAGTACTATTCTTCATAACTCTTGAATGTTTTATCTAATTACAAATACATTTCTAACTGAACTGTACAAGCTGTAAGTCCAGACAAGAATGTCAAGTTTTATGCAGTTTCACCACAAAGGTGCGCAATAATGTGCAAACAGTAATTGCCCAATTGGGATTGCTACTTCTCCTGACACATTTTTGTCAAAATAACTTCAAATTTCTAGAACTCTTGAATGCTTGATGCATTACATTAGCAATTACATTATTATGACAATTATTTTTGACAATAAAAATTTGGCACTTTATCCATACTGTGTAGTAAACATCACTCTACTGGCTTTCTCTTATGAGTCAGAACCAGATGGTTTATAGTTTAATAAATTGCAGATGTAAATGGTTTACATCTGAATTACAGTATCATTTGAAACAAAGAAAAATGGAGTGAGTAGGGTCTTATAGGAAATCAAACCTATAGGAGGATCATCATGTGACCTCATGCTAGTTCACTACTTTCTCATCTTATCCAATTTTCCCAATTTTCAAATTGTTCCTGTGCATAGATCAGAGTTTCTGTACAGGTGCACGCGTCCAATGAGTTTTGAAAATCCCAACTTTTCAATGGAAAATAGCAAGTGTATGGTAAAAGTAATATATTTGACTCAATTGCTTTCACCTTCTTTCCACAAATATCTGCAATCAGCGCAGTGCTGCTTCATGTTTCAAAGCCATGCAATCTCTGAATATAAACTATGTGCAGTCAGATGTTCATTTACCACTGCAGAAACAGCTGAAGCAAGCAGCCTTCAGGGAGGCTTATTATATTTAGAACAGTGAAGTAGGCACTACATCACAGCAGTAAGATTATCTCCAGTTGATGCACATCATCTGGCCAGTCACAAATTGAAGCATGATTATAAATAACATTGTTATTTTTGTCATACACTACAGTATAAAAACAGTGCACATGTGCACATGTGTACACCCACACATACACACACACTAACTTTTGTATATTTCTACAAACAAATCGATAAACGTGTCCATTTTATACTGTGGTATGTATAGTAGTTGTGGGAGTGTGTGTTTGCATGGGTATGAATATGATGTACAGTAGAGAGAACATATACACAGTGGACACCTGGCTAAAACTTAAAGCAGTCTAATACAACAGCCCTGCAATAAATCCTCTTTCATGAAGTTTATAGTGTGTTATAGAAATATACTCATCTTTCTGTTTAGCAAAAGCACTTTAGTGCTGTTGAAGTGTGTTGGGTTATGCATTTCTAGTATTTTGTCCAAGTGATTTATATCAAGGAGGATGGATGAAGTAAAATATCTCTCTACAACAGAACATTATAGGCTTCATAAAGGGAGAAGTTGTTGCAGGACTATTAGTTTTAGCTAGGTGGACTTAATGTGCTGGCAGCTCTGGGTATATCACAGCTTTTCAGCCTCATTCGTGGACTGGCTGCTCTTCTTCCTGTCACCACAGCAGACAGCTGCATTACACCTGTGCAGACTGTGAGCATGCTCTGTGTGTCTTCCCACTTCCTGCCAGTAGTGCTCTACAGCTCGGCTCTGTTTGTTTTTCTTTCTTCTCTCTTGTTTTTGTGCTATCCGTCTGTCCATCTTTCCTTCCTGTACACCCAAGATCCATCATGTGTCTCTTCTAGCTGGAGGGAGTAGAGAGTGATCTGGACTGCCAGGACATGGAGCGTTTGTCCTTCTTATCCGCCATGTCTGCTGACTACCTCAGCATGGACAGCCGGCTGACCTCTGACCAAGATGACACTGTTGATGAGGGTGGGACCTACACCGACAATGAGCTCGATGTGGAGACAATGCACATCTCCGCCATAAGCCGCTCGTCTGAACCTGTCACAGCTGAGGAGGTCAGAGTTAAGCACACTATGGCTGCCCTGGAAGCAGATTTTTAAAATTATTTTGATATTACGTTCAGCTGTTCATTATAAAAGTGGGGAAGGGTAAACACAAGGTTCACTGGACTCTGTGTCTCACCTTTCATTTCAATTGTAATTCTGTGGTTCACATGTAATTCTGTGTGCATGTGTGTAGGTTTCACATACAAAAAATATGTTTGTCACATGTAATCATATTGCCTTCATATATTCTCCCATGGGTCCCACGTGTAACCCCATGGATTGAACACGTAATGTAATGGATTTCACATGGAAATATAAATAGGCTCCACATGTAATCCCATGAGTTTCCTGTGAATGCAAACTTCACCTCTTGTTAAATTAGGTTTCCCTCCTCAACCTTTGAACTGTTGCACCTGGAGAAATGGTCCACATATTGCTGCACATGTTAAATATGTTGAAATGAATCTTTAAAAAAGGTGCAGTATATGTAACATGGTACCACTTTATACAACGTGGAAAAAATTTCCACTTGACTTGCAAGTTGGTTCAGTACCCAGGAAGGCAATAAGAAAGACAGTAGTATAAAAAGCAAGGTACAAAAACCAACCAGCAGAATAAAGAAACACCAGCACACTAAATAAGGGGAGAAAGCCTAAAAAAGTCTTGTGTGCATGCGTCCTCCACAGACACTCAATCTCCAAGATGTTCTCTTCAATACTGGCCCTGATTACCTGGTATCTTTAATTAGAGTCCAGAGGCTTGACAGAAGCTTGTGGACGGCTACCAAAAGCATCTACAGTTGAGGTGAAAATGACCAAGGGCAGTGAAATGCATTGTGCACCTGTTCCACACTGAAACAAATATAATGAGATAAATATAGATATAGATAGATAGACAGACAGACAGACAGACAGACAGATAGATAGATGTAGCAGAAATAAATAAATAAATCAAATTGAAAAAAAGCATCTGATGATAGATTTGTGACAGTTGTGGGAAGGATGTCATGAATTCTTTTTTCAATTGGAACAATGTTTAAAAAGCAGGTCATGAAGTCAACGCAAAGAAGATTAACAAGGAAGAAGGGGGGTCAGAGCTGTGACTCCTTGTCGGCCTGGCTGCAGTGCTATAAAACATGAGGTTGCTCTTGAGGATTTTTCTATATGATACAAGGCTATCTTTCCAGACCAGATAAAATTCTTTCATCTTAATGGAATGCCACTTCTTCCCCAGCATTTGAAATGAAATGAAATGAAAAATACTTTATTCATCCCAGAAGGGAAATTCAATATTTGCAATGTCTATTTTAAAGTGTGTCTTTGTGAATTCTACCCAGGTCACGGAGCAAGCCTCCTATAATTCTTTATCTTCTTTTTCAGAGGGACAACAGTGGCTCGTGCCATATGCAGTGAGATAATTGAATGGGCTGGAGAAAAGTCAACACACCCGCCCTCTGTTGTACTTGCACATGGCACTAAAGGATTGTGGTTTTTTTTGTCTAGATCTTGCGTAGGTACAGTCCAGACATCAGGAGTCGCGTGACGAAAATTAGCAGCCGAGACGTCCTCAACAGGTCCAGCCCTCCACCCGTTTCCTTGACAGACACCAAGGTAAGTAATAAATAGAGCATATTTGTAGAGTAATAATTCACCTGTCTCTGGAAACTCGTTTCTGGTGTTTTCATAGTCAACTATGAGTGTCTGCTGCTTTTTGGCCTTTCTTATCATACTAAATCTCTCTGGGTTTGGTCTGTTGGTCAAACTAAACAAGACTTTGGTTCTCCAGGAGGCTACTTTCTGACATTCTATACAACAATTAACAGAATCAGATGAATAGTCAGTAATTATACTGAAAAAAGTTAAAAATGTTATCATCAAGGGAAATTCTTCCAAGTTCTGAAAAGTGTGAGAAACAGCACAAATGGCAAACACAGAGATGCAACACTTAAGCAATGTTTCCCAACTGCTTCCTGGTGGATATGGGGTGAAAAGTATCAACTTTGTTCACTACAGCTTGAGTTCGTATACTTTACCTTGAGAGTTTTGCGGATTAGAGTCCTTTAAGAATACAATAAGCTATGTAATGAAATGAAGAAATTTCAGATTCTGCACTATTTCTAAGTCAGTCGATAAGTAGAAGTGTGATAGTGAAAAATGGCATCTGGGTTAAGCATAAGTCAGCTTGGTATTGAAAGGAAAGAGGGGCCTTCTCTTTATCAATTTCATGTTTATGCTGAAGGTTTCTAAAGGAACAGTACACATTATCCTATAATGTTTTACAGGAAATAGATCAGTTGTATCCAAAGCAGGATCAAGCATACCAGAAGTGAGCACACCATCAGAATGTCATGACTGGGGGGGGAGACAGTACAACATGTTGCTGGCATTGAATATTTAAGTCTGTGCAGGGAGCAAGTCAAAGCATGTGTCAAGTTTGACAATCTGGCAGTGAGGGAGATATGAACCAGGGTGTTATTGAGTGGGGTGGTAATTGGAGGAGGGTGAGCCAGCTCCTGCACAGCTGTCTTGACTTGCATATTAGGTAGCTGCTCAATCAGCACATGCTCTGAGGGAAAGGAGGAAAGACTGCCAACAAATCAGGGCAGAGGCAGGGATCTTGACAGGAAACCCCATATTACAACATGTTGTTTTTTGCAGTGGAAAAGGATTGTGTGGCCAAAATAGTTACTATTGATTTTTAGCACAAAACGAAACAAAACAACTCTTTAGCAACTTAACACATTGTAAGTATCTGTTCTGGCACTAATGCTTCTCTTCCTTGGTCAGGTGAAACTGTCCTTGAGGGACGATCCAGTTCTCATATTGGGCTCCAGCAACGCACACCATTTCCACCACCAACAGCACGCCAACAGAAGTTATGACTCTCCATCCAGCAGCAGCCCCACCAGCAGCAATAACGACCCTCCACCACCCCTCTTTCATTCAGCTGCCTCCTCTGGCTTGGCACCCCGACCTTCATCTCACCACCTCAGCTCTTTTGGCAAACTGCAGCCCCTGGGAGCACCCCAACTCCCTGCTACATCCAAGCCCAGCAGCTGCAGGAACACTACAGAAACTGTTGGTCACTCACCTGTGGCTCTGTCCAGTGCAACTTTGGCAGCCGGTAAGCAGCAAGAGGAGGCAGCCGAGGACAGCCCTATGGAGGATCCATCCATGAAGTCCTTCCGGGGAAAAATCAAGGCCTTTGAGAAAATGGATCACTTTGCCCGAGCCCAAAGGGTGCTGGAACTGCAAGAGGCACAGAATGCCAGGGTGGGCAATAGCTCAGTGTTCCCACTGGTCAAGGAATGGGCTTATTATTTTAGAATTATTTCTAATGATTATCTTCAAAGATGAAAAAAATATATAACAAAAAAACATCAATGCCACATTTTACATTGTTCCTAATTAAGAATTTTTAGACCCTCCCTCTCTAAATAGAAAAAAACAACACCACAGGGCACTAAGACACAGCAGAATGATTTGACTTCTCTTAGCACTAACATTACTACCTCATAGTGACCCTCTCAGAAATTATTCAACACTTCCTAGTGTACTGTTTTGAGTATTGTGACCTGCATGTTAGAGTAAGTACATTCCATTAAAAATCAATCAGTGCCTTAAATTGGACCCCTGAGAATCAGCTGACTTCTGTACAACAACTTTTGTATATTTAATTAATTTGCCCTGCAAAATTTTACCTTCATACTATGAATATTTTCTGACTTACAGGCCCTTAAAGTACATAGGAGGGGCTCAAAGACCATGTTGATTCTCCATTTCATAGCAATGAGTTATTATTGTTAAAATAAGACTGCATGAGAAAATTATTTGTCACAGACAGAATCATGGCTAGATGATAAATCCGGTGTCAGAATGTGGATTAAAAAATAGACCTTTCATTTGATGTAACTTGTTACCACCTATCACACATACTGATATGACCTTGAGTATTTTCTCAAAATGCTTCTTTTTTTTTTCAAATTTGTCTGGTGAAATTATCAGAAAACATGTCTGTGAAGATTCTCAGTTGTCCAGGTCAAGGTTATTCTTGTAGATTAATCATAGCAACTGGACAACATCTTCAAGGAACTCAAGCAAGTCCAGTTGCTACAATTAATGTACAAGAATATCAGAAAACAGAAAACACATCCAGGATGCCAATACTTGTTTACACTATTTCGTCATAGACATTTATCTGGTGAAATTTTGCTGTGGAAACCAATATATATCCCATGATATTGATGTTCAAAGCTGGTTATGGAAAAAATCATGCTAAACAAAAATTAGATTTTGGTTTTAGATTGTGGGTGGCATGGTATGGCTAGCACTGTCATCTCACAGATCAAAGGTCCTGGTTTGATTCCTGACCTGGGGTCTTTCTCTGTGGAGTTTGCATGTTCTCTCTGTGTATGTGTGGGTTCTCACCAGCTTCTCTAGCTTCCTCCCACAGACCAAAGACATGCTGAGGTTAATTGGGGATTTTAAATTTTCCATAGGTCTGAGTTTGAATGTGTTTGGTTGTCTGTCTCTCTATGTTAGCTGTGTGATGGACTGGCAACCTGTCCAAGTCAGCTGGGATAGACTCCATCCACCCAATAACCCTACAGAGGATAAAGTGGTGTATAAATATTGGATGGATGGTTTTAGATTGTGACACCTGGAGTGGATGCATAATCAATTTGATGCCATTTTTAACAGAACTTAAATGTGTTGTTAAGCCCTGAAAATGTTGTGTCAGTCCCTTGTACCTTTTAAGTTATGAGGACTTGAAAAAGCTGGAAAAAGTACTGCAAATTAAAAGCACAAAATTTCGACCCACCCCATGTGCTTCAAGGGCCTGTAACTAGCTAAATATTTACAGTATGAAAGCAAAATCTTACATGGATTCAATAAATATGCTAAAGTTATTGTACATAACAAACCAGCTGACTTTCAGAAATGGTTGATTTTAAATGGAATGACCCAATCAATGCCAGTTGTAAGACTTTAATAAGCAAATGTGTTTTTTCAGTTGGAAATTGCTAAGAAACACCCAGGCATTTATGCCATTCCTCTGAAGACAGCCAAGCCGGATCACAGTCGAGCAGAGTCTGTCAGGTAGGCTCACTAATACCATATAACTTTTTCCAAGTTCCACTGTGGGTGTGTTTGCCATGTTTGTGTTTCTGTAGTATTTGCCTGTCTCCCATGCCTTTAAAGTTCCAGTTGACTCAGAGACACTGGTTGTAACAGCAACTTCTGTTTCATGTTACATTGGCAGTGCAGCTACTTTGTCAAAAATACAGCAGAGGAGCAGTTGGTGAATCTGCTTACATAGTATCTGCTTAGTTTAATAAGGATGTCAATTGGTAAACTCCCTTTTTCAGTATGAAGCAACTTCCATCTGACTTCATGCTGCACACATGCACAACCACTGGTTTTCCTCATCAGTGTTGGTTAACTTACTGAGGAGATAGAGATATGCAGCCAATTGCCGTGAGCTAACATCCAACATATCACTATGGCTGCTCTTGACTGTTTCATCAATCTCTGCAGTATTTCAAACTGCTCTGCCTCCCAAAGACCCACTGATGATACTGTTATGAAAGCTTTACAAAAAAACTACTTTTAGCCAACAATATTAGGACTGCTTATCCACAAAACTGCACTTTGGGTTAGAAACACCAGTATTCAGACAAAGGTTAGGTTGGTGATAATCCAAACTGTTAACATTCATCACATTTATCCCACTAGTTCCTCCCTCAACTATATGATGATCTTCACTTCCTATAGTTGTGCGTACACAGTTTTATTGACAGGTTATTAGAGTTCGTGTGCACTCACTTTAAGTTTGACCTCCAAATGCAAAAATATATCAACTCTGGATGACTTGAAACAAAAATGTTGATTTTTCATCTATATTTATCTGCATTTTTCATCTGTCTATTACATTCACATATTAGTGCAAACTCAAAATGCAATTATAGCAATTCTATTCAACATTTTAAGACTTTTTGTCTTAAAACTTTTTGTTGCACAATTTGCGAACACCCATGCTCTTATCCAAGCTGCCATTAGGAATTTTTTTATTAATTTTTTTTAAAAAATACAGCTTTCCACTCAACGAGTCAAGCATTGTGGTCTCATCTTCCATCACTGTTTGTGTGCTGAAGTCAATGCAATGCATCCTGTGCATCTTCTTCACAACTGGCAAACAAACTTTAGGTGCATTACCGCCACCTGCTGGCTGGAGTGTGTGCATCAGTGTTACTGGTGTGCCAGAAATTAGGGAACTGAGAAAGGTGCGATTAAATGCGTACATTATTTTTAACGCATTATTTTTTTTGTAATTAATTTATCGAAATTAACGCATTGACATCCCAGCCCTACTTTTTTTTTTTTTTTTACGAACTGTATATTGTACTACCAAGACAAGTGAAGAGTAACCTAAAGTGAAACTTGGTGGGACTCAGTGCAACTTGTATTTTTTTGTGTTCTTCCAGCTCCTGTCCTGAACCTCAGACTCCTCTACCCTCCAAGGAGGGACATCCTTTCTACCTCAGTGAAGAGGAAGCAGAGGAGGAGTCAGTGCCAGGATACCACACCTCCAATTCTCACCAGTACCAGGACACTGAATTGTAGGGTCATCTCACAGCAGCTGTGCCAGCTCTCACCATACATGGACATATATGTACACATGCAATGCATTTGCAATGTACTTACATACTTACCATTCCATCTTGCCCTGCCCTGCACAATTCAGCTGCTGACTTTAAAGTGATTCTTGCTTCTTTGATATTTGAGGAAAAAAAAAAAAAACTTCACTGGACAGTCGGTACTATCCATTTGGATAAAAAGACACTGTCTTCTCTTTGCTATTATGCTGTATTTAATTGTTTCTTTGTAACATATCATGTTTAATGGTCAAAACCGAGTGATCAGGAAACAGTTGTTTTCTTGCCTATGCAACTCTTTCAGTTTGTGCACAGCAACTGAAACCTATTGCCATGAGTTTTGCCCTCAGAAAACCTCAACAAACTCCCCAAAACACAATGCGGTATATCACATCTATCACCTTCCTTTTTTAAACTCCTATTATTGCCAGCTATATTCAACAAATATTGTATGTATTGTATGGTATGTATGTATATCTATATACTGTGTGTGTGTGTATATATATTTATATACACACATGCACGCACGCATGCGCGCGCGCACACACACACACACACACACAGGTGACAAGTTAAAAGAAAAAGCAACATAGAGTGTCTCAGTATGATGTTAGGCTACCATGTGCCACCAAACCAGCTTCAGTGTGCCTTGACATTGATTCTCCAAGTCTCTGGAATTCTACTGGAGGGATGGAACACCATTGTTTCAAATGATGTTCCCTCATTTGGTGTTTTGATGATGGTGGTGGAGATACTGTCGAACATACTGGTTTAAAATCTCCCATAGATGTTGAGCTGGGTTTAGCTCTGGTGACTGAATGTCATTATATATTATTCATATAATTTTCATACGTATGAAACCATTCAATGACCCCTCGTGCCCTATAGATGAGGACATTGTCATCCAGATATAGACCCCTCCCATCAGGAGATCACTCTTAACAGCTTTGTATTGATTTAAGGTGACCTTGCTCCCTAAGGGAACTAGATGACCCAAACCATGGCAGCAAAATGGTCCCACAACATAACAGAGCCACTGGAGCCCTTCACTGTAGGGGTCAAGGTTTTTCCTTTAATTTGTCGCCCGTCTGTCTGTGGGTTTATATATATATATAATTTGTTACAGTTTTTTGAAGTGCCTTTTACTTTCTTAGTCCCATGAGGTTTGGGTTGTCTTTCCGCCACCCCTCAGCCACCTAGCCGGACTAAAACCTCTGCTGCTGTCAAGCTTAAAGGGAAACCAGGGAACCACTGACACCAAGACCTTAATGCTGTTTTCACACACTTTACTGTGTGCCATCACCTCTAGTGACAAAGCACACTTGTAAAAATACAGAACATAACCTGCAAACACTCATCAATCTGTGGAATTCCATGAAAAACAAAATTAGTCAAACACCAGTTTGAAATTTCAAATTAAAGAAGAGTTGGTTAAAACTGTAAACATAGGCCCAGTCACTTCAGCATGAAAACAGACATTTCATCGCAACAACAATTGTGCAACTTGCTACTGCTGTAAGCTGATCAAGCTATCTTGGAGAGATATTGTTTGGTATTTTTCCAGCTAGTCAAGATGTTAGCAGTTTCTGGATGGATGGAGATTTAGTTGTAACCCCACATTTGGGCTGGTAACAGCAAGACTGACTCAACACATCATATTCCGCTCTTGTCTTACATCCATGACTAAGCTCACAACCTACACCTATTTTACTATGACAAAGCAATGAATTTAGCCATGCCATTTTCTGGTGTGGCTGGGCCTTAAGAATAATTCTCTTATTTTTGCCACTGTTGGTGCTCAGTATCCATTGCTGTGCTGTTTTTGCACTGTTCTTCCCAGCCAGAAAGGATTTAACCAACCTAATGTGTGGCCAGGCGAGTGATGACTTTTGCCTAGGAATATTTTGTTGATGTTTCTGCAGGTGGCACTTCCTTGTGTCTATCCAGCCATGGTGGCTATCACTGCCTATACTAACAACTTTGCTAAAGGTTCTATATACAAGATTTTGAGCTAGATATAGCATATATATTGCAGCAAACATCTATTTGCTGTGTTAAGATACAGTGGAGTAATGGCATCCTTAAAAGAAAAGTCGCGCTCCATCAGTGTGTGTTGTAACGTGAGGTTTTCTGTTCGCTGTTTTGGTAGCCGATCCAGCCATGGATGTACGTTAGTGCATGTAAGCCCCCCCCCACTTTGCATTTATAAACAGAATGTCAACAGAAGACAAGAGCGATCTCCCACAAGCATTCTAAAGTAAGATTGCATTTCAGCTGGTATCTCAAAAAAACCAAAACATTTTAAATCAAGCTATTTTGTTTATGTTGTAGTTTGTTTTTGTTTGTTTTCTTTACCTCCTTTTCTGTCAGTTGTTTCATTTCAGCTCTTTGTGGGAGTTTGTGCTGCTTTTTTTTCTGCTCACCTCTGCTTTTCCTAAACTCTATGTCCATTCCTTTCTTATCCTTGTGTACATGTTTTACTTCCTGTGCGTCACAGACTTACAGTCAAACGGACACAAATGGACTGGACGGGAGCAGACACATGCACAGAGCAGTGGGGAAGGCACAGGTCAAGTGATGATGAAACTCATTGAGGCAATTTAATGTATTTTACAGTGAGCGTGTGGGTTAATGATTGTGGCTGGATCTGTAAATGTAAAGGGAGGAAGAAGGTGTGATTTATGTTCCAGTTTGTTTTGGTCTAAATCTAATTAATACAATTCACAGTTGTAAAATATTCAGAATATCAAACAAAAATAAAACTACAAAAGCAACAAACTTGCACATTACAAGGCCGAGTACAACCAATGAAAAACAGCTAAAACAGCAGTGGGGTTGTAGTGGAAAATGTAGAAGACTGTAATATATATTATGACCTGCAGCTACAGTCACATTGGAGGACAGAGTGGATGTCCCTGAAGTCCATGTTACCTCAGCAGCGGTCATGTCAACTGATGAGGTAGATGGTCCTGGTGGGCACAAGTTGCCCCAAAATATTTCAATAACGCCCCTGAAAAGATTAGATATTGTGTCAAAACATTACATCAAAACCCAACTTTTATGCTTCAGAAGAACAATGATGGTTTGCTTGTTCACAAGCAAAGCTGGCCTTTATAAATAGTAAGTGATGCTTGCAGTCCTCTTCACAGTAACTAGCAAGCAAATTGACTTTACTGTAGCAAGAAAAAACTAATCTAAGAGGTTATTTGATGCTTACAATCCTACTCAGCAAGCAGTAACAGCAGAAGAAAATGTTGAAAAAATGTTTCTGAATCAGCATCAAGATGTTACAAGTGTTTCTTTTATTATTTATAGCCAGCTTGCCAGGTTTAATTTAATTGTGACTTTTTCTGTTTAATTTGTTTAAAAAAAAAGACTTTTGCAAGAAAAACAACTGTCAAATTCAACAATGTCACGTTCCTCAAGCCTATGTTCTTTTTTCATCACCAATTTTGTCTTCTTCCAGTACAAGATTTTGTATTCACAGCCATTTGTATAAAGTTACTTAGCTCATCCAAATTGAGGGTTTTTGCTGCACTAACTAACAGACTAAAGAGAGAAAGATGTGGGCGCTACATGACATCAAACTTTGTGTGAGGAGCAAGCAGCAGTCATGGTGATTGCCCTAAATACACTGCATTGAGTGTTGACCAGCAGTGGATTGAGATAAAGCACCTTTCAATGATAAGGCCAGCGATATTCTATATTTTTTCACTGTATGGTGTGTTTTTTTCAAAGCCTGATACAGTGGCCAGGAAATGTATATGAACTGAATTGTATTATTCCTTACACAACAGATTGAGCTTCCACCCTATTTTTTGGATGTCTGGTTTGAATGGCTCTCTTCCCAGTATCTCCATTGGGTTAAGGTCTCGGCTCTGACCGAGCCACTATAGAAGTCATTATTTTCTTTTTTTTCTGAAGTCATGCTGTATGTTTGAGTTACACTTTGGTTTTTACTTGGTGGTGTTTCAAACACTGATAATTCATGAATGTTTTGTGGCTGACACTGAGTATAGAACAAAAGTGAGTACACTCTAGTACAATATTACTTTATTGTCAAATGATTTTCAGTTGTACCATCTTACAGTAATTGTATTACTTCTAAGTTGATCAGTAGGGCATTTGCACTTATGTAAAATAAACACAAACAGTTTTGATTTACTTTGTTAAAGATACACCCCCACAGTAAGAACTAAATGCAACAAATCGCTCTACACCTTTCATCACTGAGATTCCAAACTTTTATTTCAACAATACTTCATGTGTCCACCTTTGTTTTCATGACAGACTTAATCCTCCTTGGCATGGAGGATATCAGTGTCCATACATTTCTGCAAAGAATTTCTTCAGAGACAGTTTTTCTTAACTGCTTTTTTGCTGGAGGAGTTGTGTTTCTCTGCCTTTCTTTTTAAAATACCCCCAAAGTGATCTTTTTTATTCAGATCAGGTGGTACATTTGACCAGGTCAAAGTTTTCACTTTGTCTTATTGTTTAGAAACTCTTGAGTGGTTTCAATAGTGTGCTTTGGATGGTTATCATGCTGGAATATTCCTCCTCTACCAAATTTATGCAAACTAAGAGACAGCCATCTTGTCAGCCAGTATTTTGGTCTAACCACAGGCCTTAATGGCGTCATCTATACATGAGCTCTGTCCAGTACCTGTTGCAGCACTAATGCAGCCCATTATCATCACACTACCACCTTCATGCTTCACTTTCAGGACTATGTATTCACTGTAGTAGTCCTAACCATGTTCATGGCAAACATGCTGGACCCCATCTGAGCCAAAAAAAAAAGTATCCTGATCTCATTTAACCAAAGAATGTCCCAGTATTCTTGAGGCCTCTTTTTGTGTTCTTTAGCAAAGTGTCATATTTCAGTTTTGTGCCAAACGGTAAGCAAGGGTTTTTTTTCTTGGACATTGTCCATACAAGTTGACATTATAAACTGCCCTTCTCACCATTTCTGGTGTTTCCATTGATAACCCCTGTGCCAAGTTGGAATCGCTTGCCTGTCTGTTTTTCGTAACTACCTTGAGCAAGTGCAGCACTGTTTGTGGCATCCTTTTAGGAGGATGGCCATTGCAGTTTTGACTCATGATACTATAGCTTGTTCTACACCTCATGATTGCTGCTCATTAATTATTTTGTATCATATTCATCTTTGTAGAAGTCTAACAATTAGATTTTTAAAATCCTGTGGCAATTCTTTTTCTTATTATACCATCATGCAAACACGCAGAGGCAGTCAATAGATCTAAAACTGAGAAAGTTCTGGTCTTCAAAAGTCATTTTATAATTACATTCATGCAGTTATACTAAGTGGAAACCATAGATGTTGACCTACTGAGTTTTGGTTTAGTAGTCACAGGTTTTATAATTTGTGTTTTACTGGTCACAGATTGGTTTGCTTTTGTTGTACTGGGTTTCTCTTTTGGGCCCTTTATGTCCAATATATGTCAACTTAGGCTCCAGTCCCACATTTCTTCATTGTTCATATGGGGAAATACTCGACTGTTTAACTTAGAATTAATGCAGTTATTCAGCGGTGATACAGTTTGGAATCATTTGCCATTTAAGTGAAATTGTGTACTCACATTTGTTATATATAATGTAGAATAATGTTTTACAAACATACAGTATACACCAAAGCTGAGTACACCCCTGGTAAATATCACTAAAATATGAAGTGATTTAAAATCTTGTCCATGTGATGCAATTTAATTTGTTTTTAGCCAAAGTATAAGAATAGTCTGTTTTGTGCCATTTTTTGAGTATGCTTTTCTTTTTGTTTAGTTTTGTGTTTATTTGAGAACAGTTCCTAAGAAGCCGCTCCATATACCTCGTATCCTCTGCTGCAACTGAGTTTCAGTGAAGGTTCAGTAGCTACTGATGCTTTTGTACCCTTCCAATTCTTTATTAAGTCTCATTATCTGATTGACTACTTTAAGCAGTTCAAGCAGATTAGCTAAACACAACCCTGACCAAAACTGAGAAAGCTGTGGTATTCACAAGTTCTTTTATGACCTTGTTCATGCAGCTTGCTTAAATTAGAACACACATGTTCAATCATTTTTGTTGCATTGAGGTTTGTCCTTTGTGGCCCATATTTTCATTGAATTCTATCTGAATTACACAGAATCTTAATTAATCTAACATACAATCAAATACTCTTCAACTTTAAAATCAATGTTAAAGTGCTTTTTGACAAACTTCCGGCATGCAGTGATTTTTTTATTTTATTTTTATTTTTTGGACAATCTATCTGTTTAGTGACTAATCAATATCTAAAATCTAAACTTTGAGATTGTTATTTAACCTATATTTATGCAAATCCCAAATTCTTCGGTGAGGTATGGATCACAAAAGGATATTCTTTTTGTGAAAAGCAAACTCAATATGTTTTTTTTTATATGTCACAATAGTGACGAGAACCTACACCTCAAATCTTGCTCTTTCTTTTTTTTTTTTTTTGAATGGAGTCAAGTCCAAGTTGGATAAGTCCTGCATTATTATATGCATTTATGCAATAAATGTGTTAGAGACCAGCTAAAAGTAAAATCTTCAATAAGTTGGTTAGATCCTTCTGGTGTGCTATCAGACATCCACAGAGTGGAGCAAAACAGATGCATTTCTATGAAATTATGACAGATTATTAATATATGTAGATTTTTATCATGATGCATTAGCATACTGGAAATATAGTTAGAGTCATATCCTGAGGGGCAACGATTAAGTTCCTGAAACAGCTGATAAATGCACATCAATGATGATCTCTGTGGTAAAAGTATGAAATCAAATGGTGTTGCCTGGTGGAAATAAAGAAATGATATACACTCTGGGGAAAACCTGCGCAGATAACTCAAACTTTAAAACCCCATTTACTGACCTCTAGAGATGGGGTCCCAGCCTTGAGTGGTAGTATGTGTTCTGCCTGGGTCTTGTTGTCTGTGGTAGAGGCTGACAGCTGTCTTTGGTGTGGGCCCCACCATAAGTGTGAATGAATTTTACCTCCTAACGTCAGTTGCAAAGTGCTTACTGTTCTGATTCAAGTGCAAAGTTATGTCCTTCACATGAACTGGCATTGAACTGATAGAGCATTATGTAATTTTTCCTGACAGGGAGAGAATGAGAAGAATGACTGGATTGTGTCTACTGGGTTTTTCCATGTTTTCTCCTTAAGACACCAAATAAACAAAGTCTTAATCACTTACATGTACTGTGATCATTTTAGCAAACAGGATTTTTTTTCTTACAAAAACACAATGTATTTATTAGGTGACTATCACAAAACAGGGACAAATAAAACATTTATAACAATCTGCATTGCTAAATGTGAATGACAAAATATTTGTAAGTAAAGCCTTCATCTGTGATGAAGCTACTGGAAAATCAAAGCCTGGTAGATGACTGCAGGGCAGACAGGCTGGGATCTAACACACTATTGTCAGCAGGAAATGCAGATACCAGGGGCCTATACTATAAAGCACGATTTGGGGTTAGCGAGGTAACTTCAGGTTAAATCCTGTGTTGTCAGTCCTACAATGGTGGTTCAGTTCATACATCACCATGGTAACTTACACTGAACGGTTCACCTGCTCCGCAGCGGGTTATGTTGGAGATTGAGATCACTGGGTATAAAAACACCTCCACTGAAAATCAGTTCTCTCCTGTAAAACTACAGAAGGAGTAGAAAACGAAGCAGTTCTCAACAAAATGGCATCACCATTTATAGAAGACCCGATACACATCGGAGGCCAAATTGTGTTGCTTTTTGCTCCTATGATGTTTTTATATTCTTCATATTTTGTAAAGATCATATTCTGCTCCTTGGTGGTAAAATGAGCCGCTCTGCAGCCAGACTTGTCCATAGTCGTGATTGGTCAGATGCTGATAACCCCGCCCATTTTACGTGCATGCGCTCATACTCAGATCAGACAAACCTGGGTTGAATTATCGAGTTGACAACCACCGTTGTGTGTCCAATTCTGTGTGTCGAGGAGAAAAGAACAGGGCCAAGTAAGGATACTGCAGCAGCCATGTTAGAAAACTGAGTAGATTAATAAGAAAAGGACATGTTGTTTAAATGTTTGTCCCAAGGAGAAAATTGATCAAAATCTGGTAAGGCAAGGGCAATGCTTCTTAACCTGGGAAACAGAGCAGGATTCAGCAAGCAGGAGGCAGACTGTCAGCAAAGTGCACAATGTTATGGTCACCAGGTGAAGTCAGAAAGACGGGCAAGGGCAATAGCAAGATGACCAAGAAGAAGGATGGAACCCCAAAGTTGACTTCAGAATTTTTTTTTTTACAGGGATGGCAAGATGGGGCCACTGAAAATCTTGGGCTCGCACACGAAAACCAAAAGTCATCGCAGAATTTTAAGAATTCCAATATGGTGTTGTAGTATACAGGCAGGTTGAAAACTAGGTCAATGTAAGAGTTACGAATAGACAGATATATACTTTTGTTTCTTATTTGATAGTGAATATTACTAGTTATCAAATGTGCACTGATGAATACAGTTGGTATTTTGGTTACGTGGGTGACCACTATTCAAAACAGCTCAGCAAAAGAGATGCTGTGGAGTATTTAATGGGCAAAAGTGCATCAGCTGGCAAAAGATTCAAAGTTTGATTATGATTCTACATCCATCCTTTATCTATATACAGCTAAATCCTCACTAGGGTCGCAGGGGGGCTGGAGTCTATCCCAGCTGACTTAGGGTGAAGGCAGGGGACACCCTGGACAGGTCACCAGTCTATCACAGGACTACACTTAGAGACAGACAACCAAGCACACTCACATTCACACCTACGGACAATTTTAGAATCACCAATTAACCTCAACATGTTGTTGGACTGTGTGGGAGGAAGCCGGAGAACCTGGAGAGAACCCACGCTGCACAGGGAGAACATGCAAACTCCACTCCCAGGTATCCTAACCGGGGATCTTCTAGTTGCGAGGTGACGGTGACGACCACCAAGCCACCTTGCAGTCCTGCCTGATTCACATGCTGTGTTTATTTTTATTTAGTTTTTTTATTTTTGTGGCATCTGAAAGTTTGCTTTGAATTCACTTCGCAGATATACAGAATCCCAGCTGGTGTGATAAAGCTGGCAGTTTAATTCCTAGGAAATTCTAGAGTGCTATAAGCGTATGGGGTTTGATGCAGGTTTAAGGGTGTTCCTGTTTTGTTATGTACAACAAAAGTGAAAACACTCCTTTTTCATATCATTTAAATGTCAAATGATTCCAAATTGTATCAATTTTCAGTAATTGCATTACTTCCAACTGAATAAGTAGAATTTTCTGTATGAACAATCAAAGATAGATACTCTAAAAAGAACATATTGAAAAAAATAGAGGCCCCACAGTAAAATCTTGGTGAAACAAAAGTGAAAACACCTGTCAGCTTAACTGTATGAACATGGTTATAAAAGGAGCTGCAAACACTAACTTTCTCAGTTTTAGATCTATTGGATGAGTCAGTCTGAGTATCTGCATCATGGCTCCATGAGAATCATTAGATTTAGAATTATGTGACATTTATATGACATGGTTTTCTGTTTAGGGCCTTAAGTCTTCACGGTAAAGTGGGATTCCAAGTTTTGCAGCAGACAGCCTGTCCTGTTTACAGTTCCCACATGGCCCGCTGTCTCTGCCCCTCCCCCATCATGACTTCTCCCAACAACGCTGACTAAATATGAGAAAGGCAACCCAAGCTCTGCTGTACAGCCACGATGTTATTTAAAACTGAGCTGCATCATGGCAGGACTACCGAGCAGTGAACTCAGCACGGATCCACCCTTCACTCTGGGAAAACAACGCTTTTCATGAGAGATTCGAGCTCCAAGGAATTCTTCGTGTTTCGTCTTGTCTTGTCGAGCCTCAGATGTCGCTCCCGGTGGTGCTGCCCGGCTCCTGCTGTCCGTTCACCGGGGTTTCGCAGCTCACAGAGTCGTCTAACAGAAACCGAGTCCGTGGTTTGTCCGGCTCGTCGCGGATCAGTGGCAGAGGCTCCGGGCTGCTGCTGCCCGGGCGGCCGCTGCTCTCGCTGGGCTTGCTGCAGCTGCTGCTCGGCGGCTCCATGGTGGCGCTGTCTTTTGGAGCTTTGTCGCTCAGCAGCTCGCCTCCAATCCGAAACTCCAGTCCGTTCTGGGCAGGCTCTTCGGTAAGTGGTGCTTTAATGCCACCATTGAACATGTTTATGCTTCATGACAGTCCTGCATCGACATATATTGTAGTAAAATACACTCTCAGAGACTTGAACCACACATCACACTGCCGGACAGATGCCAGTGGAGTCCTCTGAACTAGCTGTAAGGTGAACCAGGGTCAGACACCAGGCCAAAGACCCCCTCAATTTAAATTCCCTTCATGACCACTAGACATGGTGAATGTTCATTTTGGCATCTGCTAATCTTTAAATAGCTCTTAAATAATTGCTATGTTGATGCAATGTTTTGATCTAACAAGTTTGTGTAATTTTCTAATAACAACAGACACACGTTTTTATTGTTGACATGACAATCCTATGGAGGGTCATCCTTGACTTTAAATGACAAGTACTTTTTTTGTAATGTATAAAAAGCTGAATAGTATATGTTAGTAATTGACTTATCAGTGGTAAGAAAGTGAAGTAAAGTTAAAATCTCCCTAATTAACATTTTTTTCCTGGGCCCATTGATTTCAAATGAATTGGTAAAATTAGTAGAAACGTAACAACAACAGTCAAAAGTAGTTTCTGTATGTGTTAACTACTGTCTACATCCCAGCTAAAGTAAAAGCAACATCAGAAAATATATCTTATGGATAAGTACCAAGTTTCTATTGATCAGAATGAGGTAAGATTGACCCAGGTCAGGGTGGGAAAATTCCCCTTTTCATTGTTTTATCATATTTTAATTTAACAATTAATAACAGTATAGTTTAGTCTGTCATGATTTAATTACCTTTAAAATGTGCTTACTTTAGCCTACTTCTTGTGTACACATTACAATGTATTGATTTTCAAACGATGTGTACTTAAGAAGACAAAACAGTGTTCTTAATGGGGGCGTTTCACCCCAGTTTACCCTTCATGAGGACGCTGACCTTGTTTTTTTTATTGTGAAGCTGTTAAACAGAATGATGACAGAGAAAAACACTGTACATGTCTGGTTTCCATTATTGCTGTTGGGCTCATCTGAGGTGAACTGCGCCTCGCCTGCAAAACAGACGAGAGCTGGCAGTTGTAGCAGGGGCCATACACAAAAAGCTGTAGGAAAGTCGGACTGTTTCCAAATACTTTACTACACTGGAGGCTTTAGTCTGTGCAAAAACATTCACATCCTGTTGGATCTGATCCTGATTTAATAAAATGTTCAGATTCAGATTTGTTTTGTTGTCATTGTAACGAGTACAACGAAAAGTAAGGTGCAGTCCTTTCAGTGCAAAAAACTAAAATACAAAAACTTTGTAAATCAATAACGACTTTGTAAAACACTATATACAATATAAAAGAAATATATATATACTGTAAAAAATAAGAAAAGAACTATATAAAAAGATGAAATTAAATAATGAGCACAGTGTGTATTGCACAGAGTGGATATTGGACAGAGGTAGTGGAGTTGTATGTTTACAGTATTTTGCACTTATTGCGACAGGGAGGCATTTATGGCTCTGACAGCAGTTGGAAATAAGCTCTTTTTTAGTCTGTTAGTCCTGGTTTTGATGGCCCTGTACCATCTGTCCGACAGCAGTAGCTCAAACAGGAAATGTCCTGGGTGGTAGGAGTCCTTCAGGATGGTGTTGGCTCTCCTGAGGCAGTAAGAGCCATGAAGGTCCTCCAGTGTGGGTAGAGGGCACCCAGTGACCTTCTCAGACATTTTGATGACCCTCTGGAGTGCTTTCTTGTTTGTGCAGCTGGCAAACCACGTACAGAGGCAGTAGGTGAGGATGCTCTCCATGGTGGAGCGGTAAAAAGACACAAGCAGTCTCTGGCTGATGTTGTTCTTCCTGAGGATTCTCAGGAACTTTTTTGTGCCTTCTTTACCAGTTGTGTGGTGTTCTTATTCCAGGTCAGTTTCTCCTCAATGTGAACTCCCAGGAGGCGGAAGTCACTGACCCTTTCCACACAGGCCCCACCAATGAGAATGGGCTGAAAGTCTGTTTTGTTCCTACTGAAGTCTATAATTAACTTCTTTGTCTTGGATGTGTTCAGGAGCAGGTTATTGTCTCTACACCACACAGTCAGCTGTTGCACCTCATGCCGGTAAGCGGACTCATCACCTCCTATGATGCAACCTACCACTGTGGTGTCGTCAGCATACTTAATGAAGGTGTTGCTGGTGTGGATGGGGGTGCAGTCTGAGGTGTAGAGGGTGAAAAGCCGTGGGCTGAGTACGCAGCCTTGAGGGGAACCGGTGCTGAGTGTGAGGGGTGCAGAGGTGTGGGGGCCAATCTTGACCCTCTGTAGGCGTTCTGACAAAAAGTCCTTAATCCAGAGACATGTGGAATGAGGTAGTCCGAGGTTCAGCAGTTTCCTCACGAGACCGTGGGGAAGGATTGTGTTAAAAGCTAAACTATAACCCACAAAGAGAAGGCGGGCATAGTTTCCTTATGTCTCCAGGTGGATCAGCGCTATGTGTAGCGCTGTGTTCACGGCGTCCTCTGTTGACCTGTTTTCCATGTAGGCAAACTGGTATGGGTCCGAGCTAGGGGTTACAAAGGTCATGATGTGACTCCTAACCAGTTTTTCGAAACACTTCATCACCACTGGTGTGAGTGCCACTGGCCAGTAGTCTTTGGGGCTGGTTGTGGGGGATTTCTTGGGTAGGGGGATGACAGTGGAGGTCTTCAGGCAGGATGGGACTGCAGACTTTGTCAGCGACAGGTTGAAAATCTTAGTGAAGATCCCAGCGAGCTGGTCTGCACAGTCTTTCAGTACCCGTCCTGAGATGCCGTTAGGGCCCGTTGCTTTCCATGGGTTGATCCCCCTCAGAGCGCCTCACCTCATGCACCCCCACTGTGAGGGTGGGGCTGCTCCCGGCCGCTGGTGGTGCCGTGGCTGCTCCTGGTTCAGTCTCGAAGTGGGCGAACAAGAGGTTGAGTTCTTCTCCCAGCTCAGCATCGCCCTCAGCAGCTCTGATGCCGGGTTTGTAGTTGGTGAGGTGCTGAACCACCATCTAAGCCTGCCTGCTATTGTTGCTGTCCAGGTGGTCGTCGATCCTCCTCCTGAAGTCCTCCTTGGCCTTCCTGATGCCTCTCTTCAGACCTGTCCCTCCCAAACTGCATAGATAAACTGAAAGCATTAGTCAAATCCAAAAGAAAGAAATACAAGACAGGGACTTCCATTACGGACCTGTCAGATCTGTATTATGCACAGGCCTAGCTTATCAATGAAATTAGCCAGTCAGTGTTGTCTCTTTGTCACTTATTTGACATGACACTGTCAGTGTGCTATGATGACGAAGTTAGCCTCAGAATACATTGTTAAGGGACAAATTAAGCTACACTGTACAATTCAAAAATGGGGATTCTCAGTTGAATCTACCCATAACATTGTTCGAAACCCACTCTTAGATCTGTGAAACTTTAATTGTATTTATGACCTAAAAAAATCTACATGTGGCCTGATGTGGTATGTGTTGTATGTTTTGGTCTGAGTAATATTGTTTTGGTAGCAGTGTTATAATAGCAGTGTGCTGCAGGTATCAGCATAGAACGAAACTTCAAACAACCAGGAACTTCAAAATGCTGGAGTTACTGGCTTTATGGACCTCAAGTGTGAAACAACTGAGTTCTTAGCAGAGTGCTTTAAACACTTTTTCACAGCGAATGGAAAAGCTGATGACAAGATAGTGCCTAGATGTTTATTATAAATCAACCCAGGCAGTTCGTAAAATAGTCACAAAACTTAACCCTCTGGCTTTGTTGGATTTTGGCTTTCATTCAGTTTGTTGGTGGCCACTTTTGGCCACGTCCATACCAAGTCTGTACATTTTGAGGTTTTTTATGTTTTTTTGCTACTTTTGCTACATAAAGTTTTTTTTAAACTAACAACAGTTCTTATCATTCATATAAAATATTCATTCTTTTAAAAAAAAATTTAACCCTTCAAATGCCAGTTTGCGCGATGCGCTTGTCAAACAACCTCAAAAATGACCATTGTTGGACCCGATTCTTTAGTTGGAAGCCCAAGAACAAGCCGGAGAAATCTTCAGTTCTCAGATGTAGAATTTATTTTAGGTCACAGGTAAAGTTTTACAGCGCTGGAATTCAGAGGGACAGAGAGGAATCTCATGTCCAGCTGAACTGAGTGTTTTCGGTTCCAGGTTACAGATATCTTCTTGGGCTGGGCCTGCCCCGAACATAGATAAGATTTAATTGGCCAGTTACTAATGGCGTGGACAGGCATCCTTCTGTGCTCTGTCCACGTCCTTGACATTTGGTAAGCAACGTGTATGGATGTTGTTGGTACGGTGTGTAGCTAAAGTAACAATCGTATCTGATAAAATAGAGGAGTTTCTGCTGTCTCCAAGTGTGTGAACCAGTTCTCACCGGCCATATTATCTTCAAGGACATATGCTGTTCTCAGTAGGAAAATACTAAACAGAATCATAGGGTCAGTGCAAAATACAGATTCAGAATACATAATAGCTTGAAACATACTTAATTCTAACACCATTGTCTATATTCTCTGTGCCACTGGTTTTTCTTGTTATATTAAAAGAACAGTCTGAGATATGTAACTGATTAACAGCAACACTGATTATTATGCGTTATTATTTTTGAGCAGAGAGAGCAAAGTAGATCAAACTCCCACTCAGCATGTTCGTGGCCAAAAATGGCCTCCTCCTGTTTACATTCCCAAAATGCTTTAAAATGAATATAAACCGATTTTTCCACTTTCACCACTTGATTTCTTAAATTTGCATAGGTTCTGACTGTGAAAACCAATATGTCCTTTAAATTCAGAATTTTAACCCTTTAAATGCTGTTTAGATCCCATCATGCTAATGATTTATAAACTGAGAAAAAGCATAAAATCACTTTATTTTTATAACCAAATAATACATGCTACCCAATTAACTTTTTAACCGTCATTGCAACTAAATGCATGTCAATAATTAGCAGTATCAATGATTTTTATGCGTCATTACTTTTTTGTGCAGTAACAAAAAAGAG